GGGGGGGGGGGCGGGATGAGTGTCATTCAGAGGAAGAAGGCTCGTGCACAAGCATACAGCGTGACGCCTGCATCTTGCATGGAGAAGGGCTCCAGCGCAGAGTCGCCAAGTTCTCGTGCGGATGGCCCCAGCGCCTCCTTCCCCACATCTTCTCAACTCCCCCCCAATCCCTGCCCACCCTGGACGTCCATGGGCTCGGCAGCCCCCGCAGCGCCTTCGGCCCCTCCCTCCTCCTCCTCGTCGCTGATGACGGCGTCGCGCGTGCGCTTGGCGCCGCCGGCCTTGGTCCTGGCCGTCTTGTGCGCCTCCTGGGCCGAGGGGTCGCTCTTCAGGATGAGGTCCATGATGGCGATCACCTCGGTCACGTCCCGGGGTTCCACATAGGCCGACAGGCGGACCTGTTGGGAAGCAAAGGGTGGTGTGAGAAGGGGAAAGTTGGACCGTGAGGTGGTCTGCCCGCGGACACTGCCCGCGGGTCTCGGCATTTATCTGTGTTGAAACACATCAGTGATCACCGCCGCTCGCTCTCCAAACTCCAACCCTCCTCTCGAACCGACTGTTGTCCAGACCACAGCACGCCACTCGGCCCCCCCCCCCGGCCCCCCGTAACGTCACAGACCTTGGCGTGGGCGCAGGACAGGCGGATGAGTGTCTCCAGCGTCCGCACGGTGACGGGGAGCGCCTTGACCTCGGGGCTGGTGCGCAGGTCGGCGTAGTACTCGGCGATGGCGTCCGAGGCCTCGGGCGTGAGCTCCGGCGCGGCAAAGCGCTGCTTGGCAAAGGCCACGTACTTTTTCAAAAAGGGGATGGACAGCGGCTCCCGCTTGCCAGGCTGGCGTGGGCCGTACAGTCTGGCATCGTACCGCACGTACATGGGCGTGATGCCGCGCTCCCGATCTTCGTCCTCCTCCAGGCTGGGTGCGAGGTGGGTTGGGGAAGGGGTGACAGCGTTGGTGCAGGGTGCATCAGAGAGCGTGGGTGGGGAAGGCTCGATGGTCCAGAGGGGCGGCAGCACGAGGGGCGCAACAGTGAATCGGCGACCAGGGTGACCCGGCTGGGAATTTTGTGTCGAATCGACGAGAACACGGTGTTCCACCTGGTCTCAACCCAATGCAACACCCAACCCCCCAGCCGCCTCACTTCTCGACGTAGCGGTCGTCGCCGCCGTTGCGGCCGTCATCCCCGGGCGCGCGGTACCGGTGCTGACCCAGCACGTGCTCTGCAATCTGCGCGGGGAGGGTCGATGGAGATGATAAGCGTGGGTGAGCTGAGACAAGGATGCCACAGAGCTGCCTGCCCCATGTGCTGCCGGGCAGAAGCAGGGAATCACTGGCTGAGTGCCTGCACATGGGAAAAGCACGGCGGACAGCAGCCCCTTTCCCCCGCAAGTACCACCCCCCCACCGACCCGACGCGCCTGTCTGTCGCGGGCGGCGTCGTTGTTGTCCAGGACGACAAACAGGAGATCGAAACGGGAGAGCAGGGAGTCGGGCAGCCCAATGTTGCGGGTGATGGAGATGGAGCGGTCGTAGTGCCCATAGATGGGGTTGGCGGCGGCCACCACGCTATGAGTTTGGTGGGGTGTGGAAGATGGGCAATCGGAATGTGGGAGAAGTGGGACCGTGCCTGGGGCTGGCAGACTGCAGCGGGCACGCCTGGCCGAGGCAAGGTCGTGCTGCTGGCCCCAGGCACAGCAACAGCACCCTCTGATGCTGTGTGCGCCTGTCCTTCAGGCCAGATGTTACTCCTCACCACCCTCCTCTCGGACCTTGCCTGAGCCTGTAACCCTTGCCGTCCCCCAATCCCAAACTCCTCCTCATCACACCTGCACCGCGCATTCAAAGACGTCATGATGCCCGCCTTGGCGATGGTCACCGTCTGCTGCTCCATGACCTCGTGAATGGCCACCCGGTCGGCGTCGTTCATCTTGTCGAACTCGTCGATGCAGACCACGCCGCGGTCCGCCAACACCATCGCCCCGGCCTCCAGCCGGCGCTCACCTGCGCGAGTGGGTGGGGGGTTGTTGGGCGGGGGTTGCCAGCAGAAGTGGGATCAGGAGGAGACCTTCGCCGTGGGGGCACAGGGGCGCCAGAGCCGAGGGGGGTAGCAAGTAAGCTTCCAGTTTCTGGACTGCAGGCTCGATCGTGCACCTGACCCCTACCGGTCCCTGCCAGGCCCGCCCATGCATCCCACATATTAACCCTGGCCTCCACCCCCCCTGAACACAACCTGAATCGAACCCCCCCCCAAAAAAGCCAATCCACACTCTCACCCGTGTCGGCGTCGGTGGTGACGGCAGCGGTCAGGCCGACGCCCGAGGAGCCGCGGCCCGTGGTGGATACCGACAGCGGCGCCAGATTCATGACGGCGCGGAGGAGCTGGGACTTGGCCACCCCGGGGTCGCCCACCAGCAGGCAGTTGATGTCGCCGCGGAGGTGGGTGCCATTGCCCAGCACACGCTCGCGGCCGCCCACCAGGAGCAGGAGCAGCGCGCGCTTGACCCAGGAGTAGCCGTAGATGGAGGGGGCCAGCGACCCGGCCAGGCACTCCATCAGCCCCGGGTCCTGGCTCAGCGACACGATGTTGTCGTAGTCTTCGCCTGAGAAGGTGGGGGACGTCGCGTCGGCCGCCAGGCGCGACACGCTGTTGGCCATCACAATTGCCCTGGGATGTGGCGAGAGGGGGAAAATGTGTGTGGGGGGGGGAGACAGGGGGATTGGATGAGTGGGAAAGAGCACATTCCCAACTACTCCGCAGCCTCTTGAGACCCTTGCCTCTCAACTATATAGTAATCCCCCCCTCCTCCTCACATCAAAACCCACCTAAACACAGCGGAGCTGGCGCCGGCAGTGGAGGGCGCGATCGGCTTGTACACGCCCACGATCCTGACCCGGTCGCCGGGCTTGCAGGCGTCACGCAGGTCGTCCTCCAGCACCACCTCGACTGTGGTGGGGAGGCAAGGGGGAAAAAGAAGGTAGGGGTCAAACAACAGAAGAAGAGCGTATGCAGGGATTGCACGTGCATGAGGTGGGATCGGTCGCCCTCGACACCCTGCCGCAAGGGCGCTCGGGCGAAGGCCCAACACATCGCCCTGGCGCGGGATCCACCCACCTGATCGTGGGAGCTGGCCGGGGGGCGCCGTCTCCGGCAGCTCCTGGATGGTCACGGTCTGGTGGTCCACGAAGCTGCTCATGCCGTACTGCAGAGTGAACGGATGTGCGTCGGGAGGGAGAGGGCCGGGTGGTGTCTTGCGCGTGTGTAGGTCGCCGGCAGCAGTGCCTGGCATCAACTGGCTGTGCCGGACATCTCGGATCGAGCAGCTACCACCGGGTATGACCTCGTGTTCCGGCCGCCACAGCAACGTGGTTCGGGCATAGAGCACGGCCCGCGGTGCAGCTCAAACCCCTCCACCCCCACCTCCCCTTCCCATCTTCCATCCCCACCTCCCCCAAACCCCCCTCCAACCCCCCACCTGGGTGGACAGCAGGTTGCCCTGCTCGTCGCGCGTGGGGTAGACGGTGCTGGTGGGCAGGCCCTCGATGGAGCTGGCGTCACGATACTCGCGGCTGGTGAAGGAGTTGGTGGCAGCGCACCAGTGCACGCTCTTGACCACCTTGGGGCGAACCAGGGTGCAGCGCGTGACGATGCCCTGCAGCGACACCAGCTTGGACAGGAACTGGAGGGAGGCAAGAAAGGAAAGAATGTGGTGAGAAGGGGCGTCTTCACGGTCATGCATAAGGAGGGATCATGTGGTTGTACCTGCACCGAGACACCAAACTGGATTTGGACACCCAAACAGATTGCCTGCACCCCCTCGAAACCTGGGAGTTCATGTCTCGGGGGGAGACAGCGTGGCGGCCAAATTCGCCGCTGAACCCGACGTGGACCCTCTGCCCCTCCTCCAGCAGCTGCAACGGCGGTGGAGTTCAGAGTGATTGATCAGGCAGTTGCACAGGCTGACTCACCACGAGGTCCTGTTCAGGGTGCCTAGGACGAGTGAAGGTGTCCAGGGCTATGACACTGAACTCCGACTCCTGGGCAGAGCACACTGAATTAGAGAGACATTACTTTATCGAACAAACACTATTCTCCAGTGTCTCCCCACCCACCCGCCACGCCCCACCTTGGGGCTCTGGTTGCGGATCATGTCCTCCAGGGCCTCGGCAAAGGGAGGGATGCAGTCGCCCGGGGACTCCAACACACGGCGGTGCAGGTCTGGATTGTACTCGGAGAGATCTGGGGCGTGGCACGGGGCATGAAGATCTCTGGAGCGGCGAATTTCCGAGTGGAGGGTCGCAAACAGGACGGTGCCCGGGAAGAGTGCTTTTACCGACAGGCCGTGCCCAGTCCCACCCTTGCCCTGATACCACTCTCCAACGGAAGGCCCCACCTTGCACATCGACATCCAGGCGTATGGTCTTGGTGGTGGGGTATTTCTTCATCATATCCTCGATCTTCTTGACGTACTTGCCCTCGCCCGTATCCCTTCCGTAATCGCTGTCCAGGAAGTCTGCAAAGTCGCGCTTGGCCTCCAGCCGAGCCACATTACTGTCGTCCAGCGTCGCCATGGCACTTGGGCGATGCGTTCACAGCAGTATAGGTTCTCTGAACTTCAAGAAAAATCACCAGAGTGGTAAAGGGGATTGCAACTGGGGCTAGGCGTGACAGGGCACGCTCCTCAGCCGGGACCGGTTTGAAATTTCGGACGCGCCTGTTGCCCTGAGGGGAAGGGTACTGACCATTGCGTGTGGTACTGCGCGAGCTTCACCTTCCCGTTCCCCCTGCATTCAGAGAGCGGAAAGTTCTAATCAGTGCATATATCCAGACAACCAGAACGCAATCTTATCCCTATATCATATCGACCGAAACCTCCCCTGCAACCTTGCCTGGCTGCCAAAACCCATGTTGCGCGCTGCCGGGTGCCACCTGCGTAGCGTGCTCGCTGTCCACGAGGCGGTGGGCAGCAGCAGTGGCAGCAGCACTGTGTCTCTAGATGGGATCCGGAGTGTGACGACCAGCTCTTACTGGCAGAGGATCATGACGCCTGCCTCTGTCACTCCCCGACCCTCAGAAGGCGCGTCTCGGTGTGGGAGTTCATTTGATGGGATTTCCTCCTGATTCTTTCACCTTGAGGACCAGGCTTCATCGCATCCTGCACATTCTATGTCACCGTAGGTGGCGAGAAGCCTGAGCCCAAGCCAGAACTTGTGGAACAGGTGAGGGGGGATAGTGGCACAGTGTCTAGATAGACTATTGGCAAGTGCTCCCGTCACCTGTGCATCAGGGTGCTGCTTGCACATGCGACGACTGCTCACAGGACACTTGTTTTCACACAAATCTGCTGCAGTACCTCAGCACAAGCATGCTGCCTCGGCGTGAGCAGCACCGGCTGCAGTTGCGGGAGGTGATCAAGGAGTTTCAGAGATTCCCAGGGGATGTTGGCTCCTCAGAAGTGCAGGGTGAGTGCCAGGGCTATTATTCATGGTGGTCAGGAATGTACATGTTTACTTCTACAATGGTCCAAGCGAGCAATCTCACACTCTTCGGCATCGTAATGCTGCGCTATGAGATCAAGTGTGCAACCCTCCGTTCGGTTTCCCTCCTCTCCATCTCATCTCAGACAAAAGCCCCAGTATCATGATTCCTACCGCACATATTCCATCACGCAGTTGCACGGCTAACACGCAAGATCCATGACCTGGCAGAGCACCTGAAGGTGCACCGCAAGGACCACAGCTCCAGGAGAGGTCTGCAGGGCTTGCTGAGTCAGCGTCGCAGTCTCCTCCAGTACCTGCGGCGGAGCAACTTTGACACCTATGCCATGACCATCAGCAAGCTGGGCCTCAAGGACAACTACGCACAGAATGACAGGTTCACCGTGCGCTACAAGCCCCTGGTCAGGGCAAGCGCTCACGCCTGAATGAATGCCCCAAATCCTGCAATGCTCGTTTATGTCCTTGAAAGTCCTGGCAAGTCTGTACAGACACTTCATATTACAACATGGCTGCAGCGCGCTGTGTGAATGGAGAGCACGGTGCAGCTGGCGGCTGACGGGAGCAACCGAGAACTGAAACGAATGTTGCATGTGCTGCTGTGCCACTGAAAAACCCTCCTGGACACGAATCATCATCACCAATTCATCAAGCCAGCTCGTAATCTTACGAGCTTTCCTAAACTCAACATCTGAACAGTTTATTGATGCATCCTATCATCGTTTTTTAAAGTAGGGCCACCTCGAGCACTCCGTAATGTCCTGGCCGGATAACCTATGCCTCTGGCGGCTGGGTTCGGCGGGCTGTGAATTTCCATGTCGACTAATCACGGCTCCCACTATTTTCAACACGATGTGGCCATGCTCTCTGGATATACATTAGTGAACAATGAGAAAATGACCATTCAATGATTACAGTCAGGCCGTTACAAGGCCTTTCTGACTGTGAGAAGGTGGTGGAACTCACAGCCGCGGCATTCCCGGAGGAGGTGCTAGGCTCAGGCCTTACAGCCGGATCCTGGCGAGAGCTCGAGCTCGAAGACCTGGTCAAGCAGGCATGGTGTTGGCCAAACATAGGTGAGGTCTGGGAGGGTGCGGCATCATTGTTCGCTGCAACGCAGGGTGGGTGGATGGACTCGACCTGGCAATCCACGACAGGTGTCTTAGGGTCTGCTGGTGGGCCGAGCCCGCCCCTTCTTAATTGTGCACAGCGGCTAGGGTAGGTCACACTCAGCCTGATCAACATATGCTTACCTCGATTGCGTGCCCCGATCATTAGGTCTGGCCTGTCGGGAGGATGGAAGTGTGGTGGGAGCCGTTGTCCTGGCCTTCCCCGGTGATCCTGACACCGGCATCACGTATGCCGACGTCCGCCATCGGGTGGGGTGCTTGCCCACGCTTTGGAACTGGGCGTACGATCAGGTCCTGGAGGAGAGACTCAAGGTGGGCTGTTGTGCAGTCTCTGCCGTTCGTGCTCCATGGGTGGGGTTCCTGTTGGCCAGCTCCCCCTGGGGAACAGGGGTGGGCCTGGAGCCCACCAACACATGCCCTTGCCCCGCCTTGCCTCCCAGGACTACGAGTGCCTGGTGGAGTTCATCGCCGTCACACCGACGGCACGCGGGCAGGGCGTCGGCACCGCCCTCCTGCGCTGGGCAGAGGAGGTGGCCGTGGCCGGGCTGTTGCAGCGCTGGCCCCTCTCCGTGAGGGCCATGGGTCACATCACCATGACTCTGTGGGTGCGCCGGGGGACCGATGGGAAACACCTTTCCAGTGTACAGGGCAGTGGTGTGTGGAACACCGCGCCAACACCCCACACAGTCAAGCACCTGCCCTGCTCAAACCCTATGGTACTTGGTGCCCCCTCCTCCTCCTTTCCTCCTGATAGTCTGCCGTCGCCTCCTCCTCCGCCCACACCCAGGTGGCAGCAGACAACGCGCCGGCCACCAGCATGTATGCGCGCCAGGGGTACGCCACCACTTCGCGCACCGACTGCGGGGTCTGCGCCTGCCTGCACGCCCGGCTTCTCACCAGCTTCCTGGGGCACCCAGTGTGGGCCCACATGTCGCGCCAGGTGCCCGTCCCCCCGGAGGCGCTGGCCGCCCTGCCGCCGGCGGCCATGGCGCGCGGCGGGGCGTCGGCGCGCGAGGAGCTGGTGGAGGTCAGCCTGCACAGCTCCAGCGCCGGCGCCGGGAAGACTGCCGCGCCGGGCCCCCTGCTGGCGGCGGCCCTCAAGCGCCGCCAGGGCTCTGGCGGTCAGGAGATCGCGCTGACGGAGCAACGCATCGGGGCCCTGGCCGGCGTGAGGCAGGTGTCGGGGGCGGTGGGGCCCTCACCCTCCCCCTCCCGCGCCTGGACCAGCGGCAGCGAGGACCTCCCCGCCGCACCACTGGTGCTGTACGGGGGGGAGGGCCGCGGCGGTGGCCAGTCGGAGGGTGGAGGCGGCACCGCAGCGCCCGTCACGGGCTGGTCCGAGGGGTTGGGTGTACCAATCGAAGACACCCCGGAGCCTGGTGCGTTCCCAGACCCTGTGCTGGCCCTGCCCCGCAGTGAACACGGCTCGTGGTGTTGACATCCGAACGCGATGGTGCAAGTGAGGGCAAGGTTTGGGGAGAGGCAATTGAATGTTGGGCAGGGGAACAGGGCTGCAGGAACAGCTGCCACACGCAGTCCAGAATGGAAATGGGGCAGCTGGCAAGGTGGCCCACCGCTGCCAGGGACAAGGATGTTTTCATCCCCGGCCGACACTGCGTCTGCTGGCGAACCAAAAGCATTATCGACATGGCGAGGCGGGAGCCCCGGCCAAGTCACCAGGCCCCACCGACCGCCTGGAGGACGGTGGTCGCCGCCTGTTCGACAGCTGCTTCCGGGATCCACAGAGTGCAGGTGCGGGGCGGCGGGTCCCTCCCAGCCGCGTCTCCTTCCGCGGTGCCGGGCGCCGATGCCACCGCAGCGGCAGGCTTGGAGGAGGAGTCCAAGCTCGGCTGCACGTCCGCGTCCGCCACGCTGGCGGCGGTCTCCGGGGCTGGCGCGCCGGCCGCTCCGTTCGCACCACGCGCCCCGTCGGGCGCGGCCAGGGCCCGCAGGCGCCTCACCAGCTCGTCCATCCACGCGGGGTCCATCGGCGCGGGCTCGGCGGCGCCGCCGGGCGCCTCTGCCGCTGGGCCGCCCTTCCCCCCCCGACGAGCCGCGCATGCCGGGCCGCGGTCGTGGCATGGACGTCCAGCCGGGCGCGGCCCCCCGCAACCCCGGCCAGGGCCAGCGCCACGCCCCTGGACCCCTGCGCCACGCGGACGGCGACGGCGTGCTGCGCCGCGCCGCCCAAGCCCCCGGCGCCAGGCATCCGCGCCCAGGCGAGGCTGCCGGGCGCGAGGCCGGCGGCGCGCTGCGCCCCCGGCCCCAGCGCCGCCAGCGCCGCCGCCGCGGCGGGCGCGGCGGCGCAGAGCCCGTCCAGGAAAGAGTCCTCACGCCCCGCTTCCAGCAGCGCCGCCAGCCTGGCGGCCAGCGCGGCCGGGACCTCGGGGCGGCACAGCACGCGGCACTCCGGCGAGCCGCCGCTGGCGCGGGGGGTCCCGAGCTCACTCACGCCCGGTCCCGCGCCCCCTCCCGTGCCTCGCCCCGCGCCCAGGGTCTCCCACGACACCTCGGCGGTGAGCAGGGGGCCGTGCGCTGAGGGCCCCCGCCCCTCCACCACGAAGGTGGCGGACAGGAGGCCCGCGCTGGCCAGGCGGCACCGGCAGCTGCCGGGCAGCCGCCACGTGCAGGCACTCACGGTCCGTTTGGCCTCCGCGCCACCATTTGCGTGCGCGGCACCCTCCTCCCCCGCAACCTCACCATTCTCATGCTCGACCTCCGGCGCGGCCCGGCAGCGGGCCATGCAGCGCGCCAGGCAGAGGTGCAGGCGCAGGCTGGAAAGCAGGGCGGCCACGCCTCGCAGCACGCTCTGGCCTGTGTCGGTTTTGGAAAGGGGGAAGGCGGGGAGGGTTCGGCGGCTTGCAGCGACACAGCTTGCCGGCGGTGTTCACCGCCCCGAGGCACCGCCAGGCAGGACGCCACGGCACGACCGAGGACCCACCAGCACCAAGACACATGGGCCCGGCCCCACCTCGCTGGAAGCTGCCCGCCAGCTCCAGCCCGCGGCGCCCGCAGCGCACGACCTCGACCGCCGGGGCCTTCCCGTCGCAGCCATCCTGCAGCTCGACGCCCGCGTCACGCAGCCGCGCGGCCCGGGAGGCAAAGTAGCGCGAGTCCAGCTCCCCCCTCCACTCCCCCCGGTCGCCGTGCAGCCAGAAGCGCGCCTGGGGGGCGCACAACCCAACGCCGGCGCCGGCGCCGGCCGCGCCGCTGCGCTCCGCCGTCTGGCCGTCCGAGGCCGTGTGCGCGTCCAGGGCCCCCGCACCGGGCGGCGCCGGCAGGGCGAGGACCCGCACGTACGCGCCGCACGGCGCAGGCTCCGACGCCGAGCCGCCCAGGAACTCGCGCGCGGCGAGGCCCGCAGCCCCTGGCTTCGCGTGAGCTGCGCCGCCCATGGGCGACGGACCACCCGACTCCGGCGCGCCCACCCACCGCCACTCCTCGCTCGCGGCCAGGCCCTGCGCATCCAGCTGGTGCCCGAGCTGGCGCCAAAGCCCCTCGCGCCGGGCCCAGCGGAGGGCCTGGACCAGCGTCAGCCGCCGCTGCGGGGGCCCGGGGGACAGGGCTTTGGCCATCACAGGTGCTTCCGCACCTGGCGCGCCAGTCGGCTCCACCGCCCCCTCGGGCCACCCGCGGCCGCGCTTGCGGGTGGGCGCCGCACCGTTTGCCGGCTCCGCCGGCACGCACCCGTCGAGGGGACCCCTGCCCGCCCCCGCGTCGCCCAGCCACAGCGCGCCCGGCAGGGGCGGCGCGCCGAGCTGGCGCAGCGCCAGTCCGCGCGCCGTGGCCTCGTACAGCCGCGCCTCGGCCTCCAGGCCGCTTGACCCCGGGGCGGCAGAGACGACCAGGCTGGCCGCCACCAGGCCGCTCAGGGGCGGGCCGGCGGGGCGCGGCGCGCGGTCGGCCGCGCCGGGGGCTGCCCCTGTGCGCCGCGCGGCCACCCAGGAGGAGAAGAGGGGGTCGTGCGGCGCGCAGGCCAGGTCCAGGGCGACGGTCTGCGCGGCCTCGCCCGCTCCTCCGCCGCCGCCGCCGCCCATACCCGCCTCCGCCTGGGCGAGGCGGCGCGGGAGGGGCCGGGCGGCCAGGCCCAGGGCCGCCGCCGCGCGCTCGAGCCGCCGCAGCCGCCGCGCTGCGTCCAGCGAGGCCGCGTGCCTCGCCACCACGGCGGCGGCCAGGGCCACGGCCTGCGTGGCGCGGGAGCGGCCGACGGGCAGGGGCGAGGCCAGGGCCTCCCGCGCCGCCGCGGCCAGCGCGCCCGACAGCTCGCGGCGGAGCGGGGAGGGCTCGGGGCTCGCCGTCGCGACCCCGGCGCGCGAGGATCCAGCCGCCGCGCCGGCGCCGCTCGGAGGTGCCACTGTCGTCGCCGCCTCCGGCCTCGTGACCCCAGCCGCGTCACCACCCCGTGCCTCCTCCCCGACCTGGAGGAGCTCGTACTGCCCCGTCTGGCGGTCCACGCCCAGGGTCAGCGCGGGCCGGGAGGCTGGCGAGGCCTCGCCGTCTGTATCGCCTGCATCATGGCACCCGCCGGCCCAGACCTCCAGCCGCGGCAGGCGGGCCGGCTGGGGGTCGGTGGCGATCGTGATGGGCACGTCTTCATGCGCCGCCGACCACGGCTCCACCGCTTCCTTCTCCGCCACGACCAGGCGGCAGCGCATGCATGCGCCGAGCGGCGCGGCACTCAGGTGCCCTTCTAAGGCCGCCAGCTGCATGGCCGCCCGCGCCGCCAGCACGCGCTGCAGCAGCCCCTCCAGGTCTGGGTCGGCGGCGCTGCAGCGCGGCGGCGGCGGCGCCCAGCCCGCCGTCGGATCGCCCACGGCCTCGGGCAGCTGCACGGCCAGCGACTCTGCGTCGGCGCCCAGCGCCACCTCGATGCTGGGGGCCTGAGCGGGTGCCTCGGGGGGAGCATGCGCCGCGGCGCTGGCGTCGGGTGCCGCCAGAGCATGCGATGTGGCTGGCAGCGCGGCGCCGGAGCCGTTGCTGCTGCGGCCCTGCAGAGCCTCCAGCTCGTGCAGCGTCACGGGGGGGTGGTCCAGCCAGTACCTCAGCCTGGTCGAGGAGGGGGATGTCCCCAGCGAAGGGGGAGGTGAGCGGCAGAGGAGGCAGCAGACGAGCACCACCACCAACACATGACTTCCACCCAGACCTCAACACTCCGACCTCCCCGCGTGCATCCCCTCAAACAAGGCCCTCACCTGATGCCCGTGCCCTCCCGCGCCCGCTCCAGGCGCAGGCGGCCCGCCCAGCCCTCCGCGCCCTCCAGCCGCCGCGCGTCCGGGACGACGATGGAGGCCAGCGCCGCCCGCGCGGCGCCGCGGGTCAGCGCCTCGTGCATCAGCCGCAGGGCGTCGGGCCCAGGGGACGGCGAGGGTGCGGGGCCCGACCCCGCCCCGCACTTCTCGTGCCCGGAGCTCTCGTCCCCCAGCCCGGCGGCCCCCAGGCAAAGCGTGGAGCGTGCGGGCAGGGAGCTCGCGCCGGGCGCGTCGGACGTCGGCGCAGACCGCTCGCTGCTGGTGGGCCGTGCGTCGCCGGCGGCCCCCGGGTCGCCGACCGCCACCAGGTCCCCCAGGCCGGCGCCACGCAGCGTCGCCACGTCGGCGGCGGCCCACATGCGCTGCTCCAGCACAGACTGGAGCCAGGCCAGGAGCTGGGGTGGGGCCAGGCCCTCGCGACCCCGGTACTCGGGCAGCAGGTCCAGCGACAGCAGGCGCCAGCGCCAGCCGGCGGCGGGGTGCTTCACCTTGGCCGTCGCCGGCGCGGAGGCCGCAGACGACGCGGGCCCGCCGACCGCCGGCGCGCCATCGCCCTCGGCCCGGGCCCACGCCTGCGGCACCTGGGCGACCTCCGAAGCGTCCCGGCCGCCCGGGGCCGCGCGGTCGCCGGCCCCGTACTGCGCCAGGGTCACCCGCTCCTCGGGGGCGGGGACCAGGGTCAGGCGCGCCGTATACAGCCCGCCGGCGCCGCCCAGGGTGAGCACGCCTGCGGAGATGGAGCGCACCGCCATGCCCTCGGGCCGCGGGTTCTGTGTGCGGCGGTGCGAGCCGGGGGTTGCGTGTTGGGGCTGGGAGAAAGACCAAGCCCTGCATTCAGCTCAACCCGAAGACCGCGCCCCCGAACCCAATACCCTCCCGGCGCACTCCCCTCACAGCCACGCCACAAAACAGCACCTGGAGGAGCTTGGCGCGGATGAGGAAGTCCAGCTGCGCCAGGGCCGCGCGCACGGTGGAGCGTGGGGGCCTGGCTGGACTGACCCCGGCGTGCTCCTCGATGCTGCTGGGCAGCAGGTTGTACGACCCTGTGCAGGCGTGGGAGGTGGTTGCGGAGTGTGGATTCTGTCCATCTAAAGCTGGGATGTGCAATGCAACCATATGGAAGGCTGCAACCCCACAGGAGCGCATGTCAAGCTGCTCTGCAAGAATAAAGGCAACATGCACCCCTCCATGGCTGCCCATTGGCACGATGCCCCGTACACCGGCTCTGCCTCATGGACCCCACCAGACAAGCAGCATTGGTTCTGCACTCCAATCCCCCACAAGGCTCCACCCCCCAATGCGCACCCTGTTCAGTGACCTGCACGGCCGTGGCGATGTCGTAGGCGGGGGCTGCGGTGGCCGTGAGCTCGGAGTGCAGGTAGGCCAGCTGGTCTGCCGCGTCCTGCAGCGCCGCAGCGTGCACAGCAGCCGCCTGCATGACTCTGCGGCACTCGGCCACCGCCCGGGCCTTGGCGGACCAGGCCACCACCACCCCCAGGCGCTGGAGCTGCTGGCGGGAGGCATGCAGCTGGGACATGAGGGCGCGCTTCCTGGCAGCATGGAGGGCATGATCGCAGAGGGGGAGAGGTCTTGTGGCTAGGGGCAGCGCTCCCGCGCCCGACACAGGCTCCAGATTGCCAAGAGTTCGACCGCGGGTGCGTCGGCTTCAAGCACTCGGCATGCACATTCATCATGGAGACGCCGTGCGCCGGCGATCCAGGTGCATTCCATCCCTCAACCTTCGCAACATGACTGCTGACAACCAGCCCCATCGCGCACCTCTCGCTGTCCTCCAATCCTGGCAGTGCTCCAGCCACCGCGTGGAGTCCATCGTGTGCCTGGCGCACCGCTTCGAGGAGCAAGGCGCGCAGCTCCACCAGACTGAGGGAGGTGATGGTGTCCCCCATGGGACGAGGGGTGGTACCTCAGGGCATAGTGCCACAGGGCTGCAGGCAAGGAGCGGGGAGTGATCCTAGCAAGTGGAGCGCTCTGCCGTCTCTTTTCTAGCCCAGCCCTTTCCAGCAAGCCTGATCTTGTGAGAAGGGGGTATGTTCTGCAGGTAAGACGACATGCTGGAGGCCCAGGCCAACGATGAGCCGCATGACCTCTCACGTATCGGAGGGAGGGGTCTTGCAGGTGATGAAATCTGCGATGCGTTCTCCCCTGGGCGCGAAAACTCGTGATGGGTTGGGGCCTCCCCGATTTATAACCAACGCAACCACGACAGGTTCTTACTTGTGAGTCCAGACATGATTTTACAATATTGATTACAGTATACGGTGCAACTCCTCACATGCAGTGATGCTTTGAGCCCAGGCCAGCGGAGGACACAGCTTGGGGCCAAGCTCTCGGGTCACCAGCGACTGAGAGGGACGAACTCAATACTCACGATGCTGCAGTCAAAGACGTTTGTCAAAAAGACGAAAAGGGGCAAAATCCTGAAGGTGGGTCGGAGGAGAAATTGCAAGCTTGCCATGCAGACGTGGGAGGAGGTCCAGAATACCACAACAGCTCTGCTCCCAGGCTGGGAGAGCCCCAGCTGTGTCCGCAACAGCAATGATCTGGAAAAACTCGACCTGATCTCACGCAGCTGAATGGATGCTCCACAACTCATTCTATTCTTTCTAGGTGGTGAGGGAGCACTACCTGCGAGAGGACATATACTCCGGTTCGCCCCTGGATCCTGAGTGCGACCCTGCTTCCTTCAAACTCAGCCCTGATGCACAGAGATACATCGTGCTCGATACAAATGTGGCCCTTCACCAGGTCTGTGAGGGTGTCAGCAATGGGCAGTGGTCGGGGGTGGATGTCTCAGATTGACATGTTTGGTGCTCTGAGACATGAAGGGCCACGAGGCTATCTTGTGAAGAACGTCTGGCACAAGCAACTATGCCCTCATTATGAAGTGTTTGCATGCTCTTGCTGTGGGTGAGCTCTACGCTGGACGTTATGACAAGGAAGCCCCGGCAGGTGCCCTCGACCGCTCCCCACTGTTCCAGTCTGGTCCTCCCTCGCTTGCTCCATGTCTCCTGCCGATATCGTTACAAGCCCATGTTTCTCTCTAACCCTGCCATGAGCAAGCATCCCACCTTCCCCCCTCCCCTTCCTCCAACCCCTTCCAACCACCAGATGGACTTCCTGGAGCACGCTGCGGTGACTGATGTTGTCGTGCCGGCCATCGTCCTCGAGGAGGTGAGGGCCCGGAACCAGTCTGTGTTCCAGAGGCTCAAGGCACTCACCGCCAGCGACTTCAAGCGCTTCTACGTCTTCGCCAACGAGAACCACAAGTGAGGCGAGGGGGTGCGATGAAACGCTGTCGGCTTGCCTGCTGGTACGCCGTGGCTCCCATGACACCCATGACCTTTTACCCCAGCCATGGCGCGCCTCCCCACCCTCGCCCCATGTGCTGCAGGGACACCTATGTCAAGCAGGATCCGGGCGAGAGCCCCAACGACCGCAACGACCGCGCCATCCGCCGCGCGGCAGAGTGGTATTCACAGCGCATGCCCGGCAAGCCCATCCTGCTGCTGACGGATGACGCCGGCAACCGCACCAAGGCCATCGAGGCGGGGGTGGAGGCCATGAGCTGCGCGGTGAGAGGGGCATGCAGGGGGGAGCAATGGGGCTTGGCATGGCGTTATGAGGACCGTGTGAGGTGTCTGTTGCACTGGGTCGTGGGGTGTGGGCCATCTTATACCCGGGCTGCATGGTTTGTTTGCACACTCGGACGGCGTGGCATTCGAGCGCCGGGGCCCGCCACCACTTCCAGCATGTCACCCTTCATCCTCATCCACAACCAGGCCTACGCTCGGCTGCGTGAAGATGTGCCCGAGCTGTCTGACCTGGTCAGCGCCGGCCTGGCCACCCAGGCTGAGCAGAGAGAAGGTTGAAAGGGGGACTGGGGACCGTGGGGTGCTGGAAGGCGCCGCCCAGCATCCGCTGGGAGGGACGCTGCTGTGCTTCCGTGCCTGCTTAAAACCGTGTTTGATACACTCATACCCTCCATGGCTCCAGAGTCATCGGACAGCGAGCGCTGTGTCTGATGAGCACCCCCTTGCGACTCGGTCTGAACAGCCCATGGCTTGGGCTTCGGGCCATCGTCAGTATTGCTTGCCTTTCCACACCACCCCCCCACCATTCCACCCTTTCTGCGCACAGTCGGGGGCGGGGCCGGGCCCAAGAAGAAGCGGCGAGTGTTTGAGGATCACAAGCCGCTGTCGGAGGTCACCGCCGGGATCAAGGCGGGGCGGTACCACCAGGGCACGCTGCGCGTCAGCCGCTTCAACCCCTGGGAGGGGTACATCGCCTGCCAGAGCGTGGAGCAGGAGATTCTGCTCTCTGGGCGCGGCGCGCTGAATCGGGCCATGGACGGCGATGTGGTGGCTGGTGAGGTGGCGCTCTGGGGTGGGGTTTCGTACCCCTCCTCCCTTCCTATGGGGCCTGGGAGCGCATGCAGCGCATGTCTGGCAGGCTGGCCTTGCTCCAGTAGCATGAGGCTCGAGGCTGCCGCCTGATGCCATTCTGCCTCCTCCAAGCACGTCATGCCCATTGTCAATCAGAGCCGCCCTGTACCATACTGATGCACAGCCTTGCACGACCTCTACACGGGATTCCCGCCCCGATCACATCCCCCATTCAACACAACAACACACAAAACTCCCATCCCCCGCAGTGGAGCTGCTGCTGGAGGAGCAGTGGCGCGGCCCCTCCGCCCACCTGCCCACCCAGGCCGAGCTGGACGCCGCCGATGCCAGCGAGGGGGAGGAGGAGGTGCTGGGAGAGGACGGCGGCGCACACATCGCCCAGGTCGACCCCGGCGAGCACTACCCCGGCGTCGCCGGAGCTGCGGGCGGGGACGACACCTCGGCCGCCCGCCAGCCGACGGGCCGGGTGGTGGGCATCATCAAGCGCAGCTGGCGCACGCGTGGGTACTGCGGCTCGCTGCAGCCGCCGCGCGTACCGGGGGCCTCACACGGGCCGGGGACGGCCTCGGTGCTGGTGTGCCCCGTGGAGCGGCGCTACCCCTTTGTGCGCATCACCACCCGCCAGGTGGGAGGTGTGAACACCAAATTGGGTGGGGGTGAGGCCACAGGTCTTGGGTGGGGAGCGTGGGCGCTTGATCATGCGGACGGCTGTGGAAAATGGTGGTCTGCAGAGGCGTGGACGCACACTGGGGTCAGACGCAATGAGGGCCCTGGACCCTCCATCCCCTCGCACCCAGGAGTGACACACACAACCCACCAGATTGCCCCACACCCTAGCCCTACTCCCCCCTCATCAAGCCCACCCAATCAAACCATCCACCCACCCACTCCACAACCCTGCCCCCCCTTTCCACCCCGAAAAGGCGGCCACGCTATCCGACAAACGCATCGTGGTGGCCATCGACGCCTGGGACACCGACTCCCTGTACCCCACGGGCCACTACGTGCGTACCCTGGGCGCCATCGGTGACAAGGAGACGGAGACGGAGGTGCTGCTGCTGGAGAACGACATCAACACCGCGCCCTTCACGCCGGCGGTGCACGCCTGCGTCCCGCCCCTGCCCTGGGCGCTGGGCGAAGCCGAGGCGGCCGACCCGGCCCGCGCCGACCTGCGCCACCTCCCCGTCTGCTCCGTAGACCCGCCGGGGTGCAAGGACATCGACGACGCGCTGCACGTGCGGCGGCTGGCGGGCGGCAACCTGGAGCTGGGGGTGCACATCGCCGACGTCACCCACTTCCTCAAGCCCGACACCGCCATGGACGAGGAGGCGGGCAGGAGGTGGGGTGGGGGGAGTGGGGGGGGTGGATTGGAGGGGGTGGAGGGGAGGGGAAGGGGGGAAATGAGGGAGGAGAGAGTGCAGCATCCATGTGTCTGTGCCTTGCCGTAATACTGTCGAGTGCAGGGCGGAGGTAGAGTTTGAACATATGACAGGCCTTAATGCCAACCCCAACCCCACATTTGGCCATTCTTTCCAATACTAATCCCACGACAGGGCCACGACGGTGTACCTGGTGCAGCGGCGGATAGACATGCTGCCCAAGCCCCTGACGGAGGACATCTGCTCCCTGCGCAGCGGCGTGGACCGCCTCGCCTTCTCGGCCATCTGGGAGGTGACTCCAGACGCACAGGTGGGGGCGTGGGTAGGGTGAAGGTTTAGGGTCCACTGCCTATGTGAGATGGGGCCACAATAGAGCAGGGAGTTTGGCACACGTGTGTGTGTGCGCATGCCATTGCGCAGCTGGGCCATCTGAAAACGACTGCGCCGGCCGCTCCCACCGGAGTGGCTGCTGAGTGTCTGAGGAACAACCCTCCAACACTGTTGCCAGTCCAGGAGGCTGCCACAGGGTATCCTCGGCAACACCCCTTCTCCCTCAACCTCACATCATTCGCTGCAATCCTCCCCTCCCCCTCTCCAGATCCTGAGCACGCGCTTCACCAAGAGCATCATAAGGTCGAGGGAGGCGCTGACCTACGCCGAGGCCCAGGCCCGCATCGACGACGAGCGGCTGACGGACGACGTGTCGGTGAGTTGAATTGCGAGATGTTGCCCTGGGACCTTGGAACGGGAGGCTCGTCGGTTACGCCCCCTCCCTGCTCTGTGGTGAACCACCACCCACCTGCACCTCCACACACTCAATCTCGCCCCACCCTACCCCCACAGTGCAACCTGCGGGAGATGAACCGGCTGGCCAAGATCCTGCGGGCGAGGCGCTCCGAGAGGGGCGCGCTGTCCCTCGCGTCGCCCGAGGTCAAGTTCGAGATCGACACCGAGACCCACGACCCGCTGGACGTGGGCATGTACCAGCTCCGCGACACCAACCAGATGGTGGAGGAGATGATGCTGCTGGCCAACTGCAGCGTGGCGGAGGCTACGCTGGGCGCCTTCCCGGCCTGCTCCCTCCTGCGCCGCCACCCGACGCCCGCCCCGCGCCAGTTTGAGCCGCTGCTCCGTGCCGCCGCGGCTGCGGGCTTCGCCATCGACGCCTCCAGCAGCAAGGTGAAGTGCATTGTGCAGAGGTGTGGGGGCACGGTAGAATATTCACGCACTGCGCTTTGCAACGTGGTGCAATGCCCTGCGCCGCTCAAGGCGGCCGCCCCTACAATAGCCACCTGCTCTATTCCTCGCCAGTCCTGGGTATCCCCTTGTCCCTTGTCCGTTGGAGAACCCTGCCCACGTCATTCTCTGATACCCACCCAAATGCACAAACTCTGTTAGACCCTGGCGGCGAGCCTGGATGGAGCAGTGCGCGCCTCCGACCCCTACTTCAACAAGCTGGTCCGCATCATGGCGACGCGCTGCATGACGCAGGCCGTATACTTCAACTCGGGCGAGCTGTCGGTGCCGGAGTACCACCACTACGGCCTGGCTGCACCGCTCTACACCCACTTCACCTCCCCCATCCGACGGTGTGTTTGGGGGTGTGATGTGGGAGTCCGCGAGGGAAGCTCGGCTTCGGCAGGCTTCCAGCTCTCAGGACGCCCGTTGCATGGGAGGGTGCTGTTTGCCCCGTCCCCAAAATACCCATGCAAGATGCAGTCATACACACGGACCCCTCACACAACCCCCCACATGCCCTCATCTCGAGCCATTCTCGCTTCCCTGCTCGCGCAGGTACGCCGACGTGGTGGTGCACCGGGTGCTGATGGCCGCGCTGGGCCTGGCCCCCCTGCCGGGGTCCATGCGGGACCGGCCCCGCGTGGCCGACACCGTGGACAACCTGAACGTGCGGCACAAGAATGCGCAGCTGGCGGGGCGGGCCAGCGTGGAACTGCACACCCTCATCTTCTTCAGGGGGCGGACTGTGGTGGCGGACGCGCGCGTCACGCGGGTGATGAGGGTGTGGGGGGGTGGTGTTTGGGAGGAGCAGGTGGGTGTTGGCCTGCGGTGTGCCCTGCTTGCACAAGGGCATCTCAGTGGAGCCATGGTCCCTGGGGGGCGGAGGCTGGCGTGCTGGGTTTGTGAGTGGCCAGGCCGTCTGTGTGGGCTGCGCTTCCAGTGCCCAGCCCCCCAAGTACCTTCCAACAGTGTCCCAACCCTCACTCACCCATAATCCAACCCTCCCCATATCCCAGGTCCGCGCCAACGGGCTGCTCGTGTTCGTGCCCAAGTACGGCATCGAGGGCCCCGTCCATCTGGACGACGCCGACCGAGCTGGAAAGGAGGGCGTCAGCAGCAGCGCCCCGGCCGCCGTCGACTCAGCGCCAGGCGCCGTACCCCGGTTTGTGTATGATGAGGAGAAGCAGACCGTGTCGCGGGAGGACGGCGGGGTGGCCTACACCATCTTCGACACCTGCGCCGTCACCATCAGCGTGGAGGAGACCGCCGGCAACCGCCGGGTACTGGCGCTCAGGTTGACAGACCGAGCGCAGCTGCCCGATGGCGAGCGCATGGGCTGAGCGATGCACTGCTGCTCTGTGTGGAGGAGCGGTGGCTGCTGCTTGGAACAGATGGATTCTTCCCCTGCTGCCAGCTGCCCCAATCCTGATCTGTTCTACTGGCTGGCAACCAAACTTTCAGAGTGCCTGATCCAGTAGTTCGTGTGCATCGTGTAAGGTCTGCATTCCAGCTATCAGAAAGCATGCAGGCAAGTGGCTGTGCGTGCAGGTACCAGATGCCTCTTTGAAAAGGAGAAGGGCGGATTCTTGGCATCGGAGGTCGAGACCAGCTCTGTCCAGACAGCCAGATCGACGCTGGGCGCCGCATGCATGATCAGGCGTAGTTCAAGCGGAAGAGATCTGCGTCCATGGTTGTGGGATGAGGGGCTGAGGCGAAAGGAAGATTGTGAGGCAGGTACAAATGGACGGCTCCTGTCTTGCAACAGCCTCCTATTCGAAATTTGACCACACTCGCAATGCCAAACCGCATGGTGCAGGGAATGCCCTCCCAGAAGGAACCATGCCAGCATACCACTCGTAGCCCCTGCTGTCGCACCACCACACGCAATGGCACTCACCGTTGGTCACCACAAAGCTGCCATTCAGGGGCGCCAGGTGGAACGTCTGACTGAATTTCAGGGGGTTGCTCTCGCCCTCCGTCTGTTGGAAGAAGGAGAATGGGTGCAGTGGGACACCTTGCTGCATTGTGCGGTGGCATGTGTAATATTCATCAATACAATCAAGTTCCCCTCCCCAGCTCTGCAAGCGTTTCCCTGGCAAGGCAACACCCCCCCCATCAACACAGCAATGCAAGATGCGTACAATGAGCTGTCCAGTCACAAACACCAGCACTCCTCCCGAAACGGAGGGCTGGGCATCCGTCGACGAGATGCGATGTTGACAGTTCTGGAATGGCAGGGAGGCCAGCTTCTGGACGATCTGCAGGAGAACATGCAGGGAGGGTGGGTGGGAAAGTACCACTATGAACCCTCCCGCAGATCCACACTCCCGCCCAGAGGTCGACGTCCCGCATCTACACGTCGCGTGCATCTATCCCGACGCCATTGGTACCTGCTGCGCGCCCTGGAACTTCTGTCCCTCGAAGGAGAGGAGGGACTGATCCTGGTACAGGCCCAGCAGGTTGGCCCGGTTGGAATCAAAGGTGGCATAATAGTGATCTGTGAAGGCCTGTTTGAGGAATGATGGGAGAGGAAAATGAGCGAATCCCGGTATCATTTCAGTGAAGGGTGTCCTGGTTCACCAGAGGGACTCCGAGTACTCACCTTAGCCACTGCCTCGGGGTCTGCCATCGGATCTACTCTTCGATTGATACACCAATACCACGATGTTCTTGAGACAATCAAGCTGCGATGGACTTGGACACATGAGGATGGAGGTGAGCAGCTCAGGGCACCGACTCGCTTTCCAAAAATTTGTGCACCGCGCGGGGGACCCACTGCATGGCCCGGAACCGGACGTATTTCAATGCTAGAAAACTACAATACAGGCATAGGCTTGGATTTTATACCTTCTGAGTACTTCAATGGCTCTCAACGGTCAAGATGAGCCGGGATTATAGCTGACCGGGGGAGGAGTTTCAGTGTCTCTTCTGCCCCTCACGACACCATCGAGTTGTGGACCCCAGTTCCGTCCAGTTGGCTTCTCATCATTCTCCTGTAAAACTTCAGAAGAATGAGTCAACACAACACCGGTTATGGAGGCTTGTACGGCCTTCGCCAGCGGCCAGGTCATGGGACCTCTGCCTCTCGGGAGGATGCCACACACCCTGCAGCACAGGCTGCCATCGCCGCGGGATGCCGTCCCCGGTCCCTGAGCCGGGCAGAGCTAATGAAGTTCCCATACTCCACGAACAGCTACCTCGAAGCTAGGTGCGATTGCTTGTAGTGACAGGGAGCAAGGGGACGCCATGTGGGTCCAGGGCACCCTGCCTCAATTCTACCTCTGGTGAATCTGCTGTGCAGAGCAGGCACCTCCCTCTGTTCCCTTGCAGGAACCATGTGCTCATGCAGTGGCATGCAAATGCCTCAGCCCTCCTCACAGAGGAGCAATGCGTAGGTGAGAGACAGATGGGGGCCCGAGGAGGAGTGAAAAAGATGAGGGTGATGGCAGCCTGACGGCAGAGTGTGCCTATCCCGTCCATGCTGTGTTTGAAGTCCCTAGGCAGTTGTGTGCCCAGAGTCTTCAAAGAGTCTTGGACTTGAGGTGCTGGGGTCTGCAACCGCGAGCCACTGGCACCCATGCTGCAGAGGGCAACAGCGGCATGACCCGACTCCCACCTCCTCCTATCCCTATGCCAGCCACCGCCCCGGAGCACCTGTCCCTCACACGGGTGAGAGAGGCCTTTCAGTTCCTGGACCGACAGGGCATCATCAACTTTGGGCTGGTGCGGAGTCTAGAGGACGACAAACCAGCCGCATGGGTCGCGACGGTGGTGGATGAAGCCGCGGTGTCCTTCACTCTGCACGAGCTTCTGGCTTCAGCCGATCTACAGGTTGGCTTGGATGTAGACCTTGAGCTGCCACTCTCCTGTCATGCTGCATGGGCCTGGACCATGGACCACATCCTGGGCTCTGGCTCGCAGGTGGGCGGGGGCGTGCACAGCAAGATTTTCACCTTGCCGTCCTCCCGCCCTTTGCCCGCAGACTGTCACTGAGAAATCGCTGAGGCAGCAGCTGGCCGAGAAGCTGGAGACCGACATGGGTCCCTACAAGAAGTTCATCAGGGCCCTGGTGCGTGCTCTCTCTTGGGCCGCAGGCTGGTTGTCTGTTGCTTGCACTGCGTACGGCGCCAGCTGCATTTCTCTCAGGCTCAACCCTTCAATCTGACACCCGTGCATGGCATCCGACCAGGGGTGCAGGCTTGTCCTCAAGAATACGTTGCACACATTGCACTGCCCTGCCAATCCACAGGTGGGCGATTATCTAGAACGCGGTGGCCCCCCGCCCGAGTTCTTGGCCAAGCAGGCCGCCCTCTCCGCCGCAGCCGCGGGCCAGGCGGCGGAAGCGGCATCCAAGAAGAAGGTGATCGTCATTGGAGCGGGGCCGGCGGGGCTCACTGCTGCGTCCCATCTCCAGGTGATTAATCTTGCAGATGAGGCTGGGCAGGTCCCCAGTACACTTGGTATCTGGATGTGCATGGGTGTGCTCGCTACAGCAAGGAAATCACTGAAGAATACACTGATGTCCTTCTCCTGTGAGGCCTGAGCGTTTCTGCGGACCTTGTGCTGGCCAGGAAGGCGATTTCCCACAGCTTATACCAATGACACCCCCTGATTGAATTCTTGACGTCTTTTCAGCCACTGCAATCCCATTCCAAACACCCTCCCCCACTCAGAGGCACGGCGTGGAGGTGGTGGTGCTGGAGGCCCGGGACCGGGTGGGGGGCAGGGTGCACTCCTTCCAGGGTCACGGCCTGCGCGCCCCCGTGGACCTGGGCGCCTCCATCGTGACTGGCACGGCGCCGGACGTGAAGTCGGGCCTGCGACCCGACCCCTCCACCCTGCTCCTCCGCCAGCTGGGCCGGGACCTGCACACCTTGTCCCGAGACCTGCCCCTCCACGACGGGCCCGACCCCGTGGATGCGCAGCTGGACGCGCGCATTGAGCGGTGGGTGCTCTGAGCGGGGATTGGGGCTGTGCGTTGACGGGGGGAGGAGGTGTTGCAGCCCTCACGCACGGCATGTAACCAGGGCCAGATCTCCTCAAGCCAGGGCTCAACCCCACCTTTGCGCAGGCTGCAGAACCGACTGATGGACGACGCGGCGGCCGCGCTGGCAGACATGCCGGAGGCGGCCAGCGCGTGGCTGAGCTATGGCGCCCTGCTGGAGCGCGCGCTGCGTCAGCGTGAGGCGGAGGGGACGCTGTTTGGCAGCGACGACGAGGAGGAGGAGGATGCGACGGGGGGTGCCAAGAGTGTAGGTGGCGACGCCAGGGAGGCAGGCGCCAGGGATGTGCCAGAGGCCGAGGGCGGCGCACCTGGACCTTCAGGAGCAACCAGACACCCTGCCGAGGTCGACGCCGAGGCCGCGGTGCGGACCTGCATGCAGGCCATGCTGCGGGCTGTGGAAGGGGCGGAGGACGGCGCTGAGCCTGGAAGCCAGACCCCCAGGCGGCGGGTCGGGCCCCGGCACACCCTCCTGCCCGAGGAGCGGCGGCTGCTCGAGTGGCACTGGGCCAACCTGGAGTACGGCTGCTCCGCCTCCCTGTCAGAGGTGATCGACAATGGAGGCAGCAGAGGGGAGGGCGAGGAAGGCATGTGGAAGAGTCCAGCGTGAGTGCTGACGCCCCTTCCTTCTGAACACGATCTGCCATGCACTCTCACTCCCTGACACCCTCTGGACCCCCACCGTACGCAGATATCGGCGCGGCACTGGAACCAGGACGAGGAGTTTGGGGGATTTGGAGGCCCGCACTGCATGGTCCCCGGCGGCTATGACGCCGCCTTCCGAGTGCTGGCCGCCGGCCTGCCGGTGCGCCTGGGCTGCGCCGTGGACGCAGTGGCTGACGCGGCGGACGGGGCGCGCGTGTCTGTGCGCGTGGCAGGCGCCCAGGAGGAAAGACTGGAGGCCGACGCGGTGATCGTGACTGTGCCGCTGGGCGTGCTCAAGGCCGGCGCCATCGCCTTCAGCCCCGCGCTGGCGGCCTGGAAGACGGCGGCCATCCAGCGGCTGGGCTTCGGCTGCCTCAACAAGGTGTGAAGGATGTGTGTTGTTCGGAGATGGGGTTTTGAAAGGGCCATGTCAAGGGTGCTGTGTTAGGCTCGGTACCAGAAAGCACTGTGCACGCCAGTACCAGACCATTTCCCCACCACCACCACCCGCAGGTGGTCCTCCAGTTCCCCCGCATCTTCTGGGACAACGGCCTGGACTATTTTGGCGGTGTGGCGCCGGCGGGGGAGCAGCGCCGCGGCCGCTGCTTCATGTTCTGGAATCTGGCGCGGCACAACGGCGGCGTGCCCCTCCTCTCCTGCCTGGTCTCTGGCGCGGCGGCGCGCCGCCTGGAGGCCGACAGCGACGAGGAGGCGGTGGCCGTCTCGCTGCGCGCGCTGCGCCGCCTATTCCCCGGCGAAGGGACGGTGCCCGACCCGGAGGCGAGCGTCGTCACGCGCTGGTCCGCCGACCCACACGCCCGTGGCAGCTACTCCTACGTGGCCGTTGGGGCCAGCGGCAAGGACTACGACGCCCTGGCCGCGCCGGTACTATCAATTTTCAGGGAGATGACGGCCCGAATCATTCTTGCTTGCAGGCCCGGGGAGTGGGGCGCAGGGATCGTGCAGGTCTCCGGGGTCACTCCGGGGCCCGCATACCCACTCTTGGCTTGGCCCTGCGAACCTTGGAGTCGGCCGCCCGCGGGCCTCCTCGACAACCTCCCCCCCCTCATCCCAACAGGTGCGGCGCCGCATCCTGTTTGCCGGGGAGCACACTGCACGCGCCCACCCCGACACAGTGGGCGGTGCCATGCTCTCGGGCCTGCGGGAGGCTGTGCGGGCGCTGGCGCTGTTGGACGGCAGCGAGGGCCTGGAGGTGTGAGGGGCCGAGGGGGGGGGGAGGTGGGTCAGGGGATGGCAGGTCCTCGGCCGACCCCAGCCTCACAATGCGCCTGCTCGGGACCTGTTGGCTGCGTCGCCGCCGCCGCCCACCATGCATGCCCCTGCCTGCACGCAGGACTACCTGAGCATGCAGGAGCCGTCGACCAAGCGGGCGCGCCTGGACAGCTCCCAGCAGGCAGAGCTGGAGGAGCGCCAGCTGGAGCTGGTGCTGGGGCGAGACGTGGCCCGGCGCATGGACGAGCAGCGCGCGGTGAGAGCCGGGTTGAGGGAGGGCAGGGGGGCGCCGCTGCTGCCGGCCGACGTGCGTGGAGGGGGCCGAGGGGCGTACGGGTTGGCACATGGCCGCACAGTTGCGGCTGCGTCAGTGAGTCCCATGGATGTGAAGCGCATTGCATGGCGCCCACACCCGACGCTTCATTCTCCGATGAGTGTGTGCCCCCGAGCATGTCGTCCCTCAGTCGACGGTGGGTCTGCATGTCGACGCTCATGTTCCACCCCCCCCACCCCCCCCAACCCGTCGACAGAGAGAGGCTGCCCGGGCTGATCAGAAGGTGGTGTGGCGCGCTATCCTGCTCGCCTCCGGTGGTGCGCGGTGTGGTGCACGGGGCTCAGGCTGCGTGTCTGCGGAGGGATGCTGGAGGGCCGGTGCGACCCCGCCGCACACCATCACTGCCTCCCCCCGACCCCATCCTCTTTGGGCTGGCGCACAGGCGACGTGAGCTCCCTGGCAGACCTGCTGCACTCCACCGGGGGCGCTGCCGGGCGTGTCGCCCTGGCGCAGTGCCTCCGGCAGGCGGACGCACGTGCACGGGCCGCCGTGGCTGCCGAGCCCGAGGTCCTCTCCATCCTCCACAGGTAGGCTTTGTGGGAGGGATGCAGGGGGGTTGGGGTGGTTCTGGGTGCAGGATCCTGCATCGCATGGACGCAGCGTAAATCCCAGCCTTGCCATTGGACCGTGCCCCTCCGCGCGTCTGCGGCCTCCTCCTTTCCCCTCCGCGCGTCGAGGGTGCAGCCCACGGTTGCAATGCACACCCCATGCACATGCGCTCACTCCTTCACCCCCTTGCCTCGCTCCCCTTCCCCCCATTCCCACAGCTGGCTGGAGGATTCGGTGGGCAACTCCCTGCACACGCCGGTGCTGGAGGCGGTGCTGCGCCTGCTGCAGGCCCTTCCCGTGGGCGCCGATCTGCTGCGCTCCACCGGCCTGGCCACCCTGGTCGCGGGGCCGCGCCTGCGGCGGCACTCTGACTCCGATGTCGCTCGCGCGGCGGCGGGCGCGACGGCGGCTTGGGCGCCGGCCCTGGCCGCCGGCGAGGCCGGCGCGCAGGAGGGCACCCTGCTCAGGAACTCCACGGCCGCCGCGCCGGCCGCTGCCGCCGTAGAGCTGGACGAGGAGGCACAGGAGGCGCTGCGCAGGGCGCGCGCGGCTGCGGAGGCGGCGGCGGCCGCGGCGGCGGCCGTGGCGGCGCGGGCGGCCGCCCTGGCCGCCGACGGCACGGGCCCCTCCGCCGCGGCGCGGCTGGAGACCTTTGCGGCCTTCTCGCGCAAGACGGCGGCCGCCTCGGCGCGGGGCCCGGCGGGCGACGCTGGCACGGCCAGGCTGGGCGCCAAGTCCAACGGCAAGGGCGCCGCGTGGCTGAGCCGGGCCGAGCCACACGACGTGCCCTCGCTGGTGGAGTCGGTGCTGCGCCCCATGTTCAAGGCGGGGCGCATCTCCAAGGACCAGTACAAGGACATCGCGCGCAAGGCGGTGGCGCGCCTTGCGCGCGAGAAGGTGAGCGCGGGCGAGCAGTTCCTCACGCCTAAGCGTAGGGCCAAGGTGGCCGACCTGATCGAGCGGTATGCCGCGCAGCGCATGTGACCAGACTGGGTGGGTTCCCTGCGAGAAGGCGGGGACCCGAGCGCCTGTGCTGGGCTAGCCATGTGCATGGTTGGTATGGCACGGGCTCCTTGACTCCATGAAGTACATAGACCTGCCCCTGGTAGATCCCTTGTCATCTGCAACACCTGATGTTGCGACGCGGGCAGACTCAAAGATTTGCGCGCGAGAGAGGTTCCGAGACCGGTGGACCGGAATTTCGCATTCCCGCCTGAGCAAAATCAGGCTTGCCGATGCTCCACTCGAGACTCTAATGCAGTCAGCCGACTGCCGGACATCTTAGCGGCGTGCGCCGTCTGCCTGTCGAACAGGGGCCGATCAGTCCAGGAAGTACGAGTCGGCCTGTGACCACCCTCGAGCGGGGGAGTGTGGCGCTCCCCCGCCCGAAGCTGCCGGTGCAAAAGTGTAGGAGTCAGGCCGCATGCAGGCCATCGGCCTGTGCTGCGTCCCCTTCACAGCCTGCCACCCTCCCGGGCCTGCAGCCTCCACCGCTAGGGCTGAGGGAGGCAGATGAGGAGGACAGGGTGCTCAGTAGCACGCCGGCAGGCCGGTACTGCATGCCTGTGAAGAAGCATGCGAATCCCTGTAAGGTCTGCGACGGCACTGGGAGGGCCATGTGTGGAGTGTGCAGGTGAGAGACCCGAGGGCGGGTGGGAGTAGGATTTGGGGGGGACTATTGCAATGAATTGCACTCAAAGACCATAGTGTGGCAATAAGTGCTCCTTCCTGTGCTCAAGAAGCCCTTTTAGAGCTGACATCGCTTAAGAATGAGACCCTCCCACTCCACGAATTCTGCATTTGGGGGAATGAGATGCCAGCACTCCGGCCATTGTTGCATGCACCCATCTCTACCGTGCTTCCCCATTCATGAAGTGGCAGCCTGAAGCCCACAGCACCGGACCAATGTCCTTTGCATGTTCCAATGCTCTCTTACATATCCACACCATACCGCTGCAGGGGAAAGGGTCGCCTGAATTTCGCAGAGGCGGCCATGCTTCCCAAGGGCGCCTGGCCCGTGTGGTGCACTGCCTGCCGTGCCTCAGGAAAGTGGTACTGCGAGGCATGCCTGGGCACCGGGATGCACAGGTGAGGCACGTCGCTGCATGCTTTGAGTTACCGGTATCCGATAAGGGAGTCCTTATTTGTAGGGGTGATGTGTGCACATGCCATCCTTCTATCCCACCACAACCTTGCAGAGGTCCCATGGGATTCAGGCTACCAAAGGCTGAAGAACGAGATGTGAAGCCTGAGTGATACTGGATCTGTGAAGAATATCACAATTTTGCCACCGTTGTTGTACACGTTTTCCCTGACAGCGCGCTCGACAGTTCAGCAGGGTTCAGATCAAAGGCTCCGCCCTGGGCATGCGTGACATCCGAGTGCCTGGGAGTAACACGCCTGCGCATGCATCTTTTATCTCAAGCGCATGTCCATCCTAACAGTAGGTTGCGGCCCTCTCTCATCCCGGCATTCGGCGCCCCCGGACACCCAGCTCGTAGGCGGTCTCGCCGTGGTGCACCCTGCCCACCAACCCAGCGCACATGGTGCAGACGCTGTGTATCCTCTGACATGAACCTCCTCTCACACGCCCGCGATGTGGCGCTGCAGTCTCCACTCCTGGTTTTGGGCGGTGTGGCGCTGGCCTACGCCGTATACACCCTGATCCGATTCGCCCGGTGAGCCGCGATGTACTTGTCGGACGCGCCATGCTCGATCGGAATGCCACATGCTCCCGATGCAGGCTTCGTGTATGTATTGACTGGGCACCAAATGAAGATGCCCCATGGGCGTCGTCGCAGCCTCGCCTTCCTCACCAGGCTTCCGACCCATGAACCCCTTTCCCACCCCTTCTTCGCAACCCTAGGGCCGATGCATCCCTGGGCCTCTTGTCTGCTGCCCCCACCCCTCCCAGGGCCTTTGCGGGCAAGGTGGTGTGGATCGTGGGGTCCAGCCAGGGCCTGGGGGAGGCCATGGCGCTCTGCATGGCCGCCCAGGGCGCCAAGCTCATCCTCAGCTCCCGCTCCCAGCGCAAACTGGAGGTGAAAGGCTGGAGGGGGCTGTGGGTGCTTGTCTTTGTCTCGAGTGGCTGGCCATTGCGCGGCGGCGGCCCTGCGCGAGGGTTTCCTGGGTACCATGCCAGTAGAGCATCAACCCACTGCTCCTTGTGCAATGGGCGATTCTGTATGCAACCACACCTCAGAGTCTCCACCCCTCTCCCTCATTTGTACATCCCAGGCGGTCAAAGCCAAGTGCGCCGCCTTCATCCCCGCCGACGACGTTCTGCTCCTGCGTCTGGACGTGCTGGGCCCCCCCGCGACCCTGGCCGAGGCGGTGGAGACGGCCTGCTCCGCCTTTGGCGGCGCAGGCCTGGACTACATCTTCCACAACGCCGGCGCCAGCCAGCATGCGGTGGTGGAGGAGACCACCTGCGATGTGGCCACTGAGTTGCTGCACCTCAACCTGCACGCCGCCATCAATGTGGCCCGCGCAACGCTGCCCTACATGCTGCGCCGGGGGAAGGGCTGGCACGTCGTCATCTCCTCCATGGCGGGGGTGGTGCCCAGCCCGGGGCAGGCGGTGTACGCCGCCGCCAAGGCCGGCCTCCGCGCCTACTTCGGCTCCCTCAAGGCCGAGATGCACGGCAGGTGGGTGGGTGGGGGATTGGGGTGGGGGGTAGGGGTGGGGGTCTGGGATGGGGTTATATCAGGGTATCTCTGTGTTTGCGTGGGTCTTTGGAGACCACTGCTCTGCTTTCCGTGGCTCCCTCTGACAGCCTGGGAACCCACTTTTCTGCTCATCTGCTTGCCTGCCCTCCTTCCCCCTCTCCCCCCCCCCAGAGCCCCCCCCTCCACCCCCCTCCAACCCCACCCCCCACCCCACCCCCAAATCCATGCAGTGGCATCGGCGCCACCATCTGCTGCCCCGGCCCCGTTGCCACAGGGCTGGATGGGAATGCACGGCTGGTCTATGGCCCGCTGGGCCTGATCGAGACAGTGACGACCGTGCCCTCGCCCGACGGCGAGGGGTCGCAGCTGGTGGCGGCGCACTCCTCCTCGGGGCGCACCGCCGTGCCGCGCGCAGTGGAGCTCATCGTGCGCGCCGCACACCGCAAGATGGACGAGGTCTGGATCGCGCGGCACCCCGTGCTGCTCGTCGGCTACCTCACCCAGTACACGCCCTTCCTGGCGTGGTGGATCCTGAAGAAAATCGGGCCGGGGCGCGCGCGCAAGCTGAAGAGCGGCGGCGACGGCTACTCCGTCACGGGCATGTTTGTGTGGGGGACGCCCAAGAAGACGGAGTGAGGGACTGGAGTGTGTGTAACGGGGGGAGAGGTTGAGGCCGTGGCCCACTCCAGCACCCCACTGTGCTGCCACCTTCATCCAGCATGAGCAATAGTGAGTCATCGCTTCAGGACCATCCGTCCGAGGCAGCCAAATGCATGTGTGGAGCAGCACTCCCTTGTCCATTTCAAGCTGACCAGGCGGCCATCCATCCGTCATCTGCCTCCTCCTGGAAAGAGGAAGTCCACTCAATCCTGCCCCCTTGCCTGGCAGCGCGGCACTGCCAGGCCCAAGGGATGCTCCATCACACTTGAATTTTGTCACGCTCTTCATCCCTCCCACGCCCTCACTCTTCATCCCTGCTCAATGGAAGTTTTTCCGCCGGCCCTTGGAGGCATCGCCTGGTGCGTGCAGAACATCTCGCACGATTGTCCAGGGGGCAAATGGTGCTGACACTGAAGCTTGGTGCTGCCAAACATTTTGTGAACTGAACGATTCAGGGAATGGATCTCCCAGAAGAACACAAGTGATCGGGTGGTGCAAAGTGAGGATGCAGAGCCCACTGAGCTTTCTTTTGTTGGCATCTTTCCCAACACGGATGCCCCCCACTATGCGAGGGAGAAAACAAAAATACATTGAGGCGTCAAACATAAAAATCGGAACATCAACAGCGGCCCATGCTGCTTTCTACAGGCCATACAACTCTGAGTACTTGGACTTCAGGTGCTCCAGGAGGATGCTGGGGTCCAGAGGGCTCCCTGTCACCTTCTCCAGCAGCTCGTCGGCCGAGGGGTACAGGCTTCCGACCTGCAGGGGGGGGTTAAGGTGGCCTTGCTCACAATGCCGTGCTCGAGAAGATTCACACCTCGACGCCAAACCCGCGCAAGCTCACATGGCCAGTCTGTGCCTCAACGACAAGTCATGGTGAGCATCTAGGCGAAGCCTGCAGGCATGCATGCGTGCTTTGCTCCCACCTCTACCTGGTGAATGTTCTTGTTCAGCCAGGCCTTGAGTTTGGAGAAGTTCCCGGCGGCGGCCTCCGCCTCAAAGTCGGGCAGGTCTTTGCGTGCCGCCTCGAAGATCTGGGCTGCCATCATGGCCCCCAGCGAGTAGGTGGGGAAGTACCTGGGTCCAAAGAGGGAGGAAGGGATGTGGGATGGGGGTCATGCAGGGAATGCCTGACGATGAGCCTAAGATGTTGCACAACCACCATGAGCAAATCACGACAGCAAGTCTGCTCAAATTTGTGCATTGATTGGGCTCCTAAGCACGTTCTGCCCAGGCTGCAGGGATGATTGGTGGCCTCTTCCACATGATCAGCATTACAGGCCTCCCCAACCAGCAGCCTCACCCAAAGAGTCCGTAGGACCAGTGGACGTCCTGCAGCACTCCCTGCGCGTCGCTCTCAGGCTCAACCCCCAGGTACTCCTTCATTTTCTGCAGGTCGGCCAAAGGCACCCCAGTGGCATGGTGGTATGAACTGCATAATAGAGCAAGCATCCACGCATCCTGGAGACCACTTCCGGGCTCAGTCTCCTCATGCCTCCATGATCATGCTGTGCGTGTGTGGCCCCGCCAGACCCCGAGACAGACACCATCGTGCTTTCCACCCAGCCCATCTGCCCCTGGCCAGGGCCAGGAGGCCAGTCGATCTACGAACTCCCAACCCAGCCGGGGCATCACGAGCCTGTGCCCACCAAACATCAGGATCCCATCCTCACCTTGTTCCACAGCTCTGGGAGCTGGTCGACGGAGATGTCGCCCCGCACGAGCTCGCTCTCCAGCTCGTACCTCAGGATGATGTGCAGTGGGTAGGTGACCTCGTCTGCCTCCACGCGAATCAGGGAGCGGGGCAGGACCTCGTTCACGGCGCGGTACAGGTCCTCTGCAGTCCTGTCTTGCGGCAGCTGCACAGAGGGTCAAGGGTGACGGAGAGGGGGAGTTGGGGAGGGATGATGACCATCACACATGCCCAGACTCTGTTCTCTGCAAGACAGGGGCGCCGCAGGTGGTGATTGATCCAGTGCGCTGACAGGCCAGCAAGAAGCCCCCTCGTCGACACCAGGCTCACCTGAGGGAAGGCCGCCTTGATCTTGGGGAGGAGGTAGGCGGCAAAGGGCCGCCCCAGCCCCACCATGCGCTCCCACAGCAGGCTCTGAGACTCGTGTACCCCCATCCCCGCAGCCTGTGGGGTGGAGAGGTGGGTGGAGTGTGTGTGGGGGGGAGTTATTCTGTACAGCGAGGCGATGAGGGTTGCGGCCAGTGCGTCCTGCAGGTCCACGCAGGCCCCTGGGCCAGGGAAGGGCGCAGGTGCCGATCCCCCTCCGACGCCCCACAGATCACCCCAAAGGTATCCCCCCCGCTCGCCCAGCTCTCCGAATTCATCCAACCAGGCCGCCCACCTCGTTGACAGGCAGGCCGTCGTACTCCAGGTTGCGCCCCTGCTCATACAGCGCATGCCCTGTTTCGTGCACCGTCCCCGTCAGCCCCTCCAGCAGGCTGTCCTTCTTGAAGCGCGTGGTCATGCGCACGTCCGTCGGGTGCGCGCCTGTGTTGCAGAGGTGGGACAGGGTGTTTGGAGGGTTGGGGGAGGGGTGTCCATGAGATGGACGGGCATGGAGGAAAGCAGCCCCAGAGGGTTGCATTGCAGCGGCTCTTTCCGGCCACGCCTGGTCCCAACAGCTCCTGCCGGCAGCTCATCTGCCAACTCAGATAACAAGATCAACGCACAGCATCAGGCCCCTACCTCTCCAACCCACCACCGGTGAAGGGGTGCACCGACACATCCAGGCGCCCCTTCTCCAGGTCGAAGCCCAGGGTCAAAGCGATCTCACGACACAGCGCGGCCTGAGCGTCGGTGTCGAACTCGCCCTTGAGCCAGGCGGTGTCCGGGGGGGTGCCGCGGGCACGCAGGTCCGCCAGCAGCGGCACCAGGCCGGCCTTGACCTGAGGTTGGGGGGGAGGTGAGCGGGATATTGTACGCAGGGCACATGCCAGGACAAGAGGGGTCCAGAGATGCTGCAATGGCCGGCTTTGGTGCACTGGCATGACGTGGCCCTGTGCCACAGGTGCTGCGCGCAGGGGGCCACTAGTGCACGCAGGCGGGGGCTGCCATGCACCTTTGGTTTCCCCCCTCCAACTCCCTCCAACATCCCACAACATGAGGCCCTCCTCCGCACGTCACATCACCTCCCCCATCCACCCCATCACACACGCACACACCTGATCAAAGATGGAGTCCAGGCGCGCGGACGTCAGCCCCGGCTGGTAGTCGTCCAGTAGGACGTCGTAGACCGGCTTGCCGGGGTCAATCAGGGCGGCGCGCTCTCTGCGCAGGGCCACCCACTTCTCCAGGGCGGGGGCGAAGAGGGAGAAGTTGGAGGCCTGCCTCGCCTTTACCCAGGTCTGGGGGAGGGGGGGGGGTGGAGGGACAGGGGATGGTGAGTCTGTGGACCCCCAGCCTTAGTTTCCATGGTTCCTGACAGCAGCACCTCTCGTTTGTCACTATGAAGCCAAGCCAGACGCTCCTTGCTGTAGCAGGACGGTAAATAGAAACGGTGCACTTTCTGCTTGACCATACTGTTCAACCTAAACCCCGCCCCAGGCTCCCAAACACGCACGCACCTGGTAGGCTTCGGTCTCGTGCTCCGCCTCGCGCTTGGCGAGGTCCTTGGTGACGGCGGTGACCTTCCTGTACTCCCGCGCGGCCTCGCGCACAGCGGCGGCCCGGAATGCGTCGGCCCCCTGGCCCTCCTCCCGCTGCAGCTGCTCCAGCAGCTCCCCAATGGCCGGGTCAGACTTCCTCTCGTGCAGCAGCCCGGCCAGGGCCGACTTCTGGGCCCCGCGCGACCCCGCGGCACCGGCGGGCATCATCACCATCTCGTCCCAGCCCAGCAGGCCGGAGATGCCGGAGAAGGCCTGGATCTCCTTCAGCTTCTCCGACAGGGCGGTGAAGGCCTGCGGGACCGGGTGGCGACCGAATATGGACGGGGGGGTGGGGGTGGGGGAGGCATGCCTGGTGGTGCTGTTGAATGAATTATCAACCAAGCACTCTGCCCCTGTACCCCACCTTGGAGGAGGGAGCAATGGCAACCTCGCCAGGGGTAACAGCAGTGGCCATCCTTATCCGCGCAAGCTTCTTAGGGCTAGGAACCGCCTGTCGCCAGGCAACAAAGGGAGATGCTAGGCTTGTACCGATTCGTGTCTCGAGACGGTACTTGAACATGCAAGCTCGCCCGGAGAGTGTGTGGGCAGCTTTGCACGCACACGCAAGTGATCTCACACCCAGCGGGTCAGGGAAGGGCGACTTGTCAGAGCGACAGCGAATCCAGAGAATCAAGTAAATGTACTCGGTTTTTCTCAGCTCAAAGACTCCATCACTTCGCGGGCAGCCGCGAGGTGGGATCCCCGCGTCGCATGCTCAATCCACAATTCAGAGCGCGCGAGGTTGTGTCATGTCGGAGGGAGCAGCATGCTCGAGACGGACAAGGCTCGCGATGCTTTCATGCAGCTTGATGCGAGCCGATAGCATGAACGTGCCATGATATGGCGCTGACATGAGGTGCCGGCATGGAGGGGGCCCCATACGCCTCCAAAGTGATCGGGTGGGTGGTGGTGGTGGGATGATCAGGCCCATGGCAAGCTGATCTACAGATTGAACATGCGTATATTGTGTTCACATCGTATACTTAATGCACCAGGAGGAAGCAAATCCTAGAAGAGGCCCGATCCGGGAGGGAGCAGCGCCAGGTCGCACGCCGGCATGAGCAGGCGGCCAGGACCCTGCAGCGTTATTGGCGAGGCCGCACTGACAGAGCGACGCTGCGACGCCACCTCGCGGAGCAGTGGCTGCAGCTCTATGCCCCTGTTGTAGCAGACACGGGCAGGGTGCTGGACAAAGATGATCTTCTTGGGAACGTCCTTCCCCCCATACTGGCGGCCAGCCTCCTCCCCTTCCGTGGCTTCCAAGCTGGTTTGACGGCCGGTGCGCCGATCCATGTCGACGCCAGCGTCCGCCCTGCCCTGCGAGGCTCCCTGGCGCTTGTGTTGCGCTCCCTGGCGAGCGCCGTTCCGGCCGAGAACCTGCTCTCCACGGCTCCTGGGTGAGGTGACGACGGATGCTGGGAGTGCCATGCTCAGAGGCTGCAGGTTGAGACACCTGCAAACTCCTAGTCTGCGATGGCCAGTCGAAAGAACATGGTTCAAGGGGCCCAGAGTGGACGGCAAGACCATATGCACCCCCAACGAGTCAGGGAAGCGGCATCTGTGTTGCCCATGTCCAACTCTGTATCAATCACTCCTCTGCATGCCCTTGGCTATCAGGGAGACTTCACCGCTACAATCGCACATTACGCACTCATCCCTGCCCCTCTTCTCTCCTGCGCCGGCACCTCACAGCACGCCTAGCGCACACCGCCTGTGCCACCTGCTGCTGCTCTGCTGCAGCCTGGCGGGGTGCCCGGGCGCCGATGGCCTGACGCAGGCGGCTGCGACGCGCTGCGCGCGGCTCCTGCTTGCCGCCCCGACCTCCTGGGCCTTGGACGTTGCGAAGGATCATGCTGCGAATGCTGCCCAGGCCCTGCACGCCGAGCTGGTCCGTCGCTCGCTGCGTGCGGTGCCCGCCGGCGTAGCGCGCCTGGCGGCGCCAGGGAATGCTGCCGACCGGGGTGCTTCCAGATCTGTGGAGCTGCTCCGCGCCTGGCTTTCTAGCCTGACCAGCGCAGGCCTAGCCCACGAGCAAGCAGACTGCGCCATGGATGAGGTGTGCCTGGCGGTGCTGGCGAAGCCTGGTACGGGCGATGAAGGTTCAGAGTCCGAAACGGCGGCGCTGTTCGTGCCCGCGGCGACTCAGGCGGCCGTGTATGCGGCGGCCGCGCGTGTCGCACCGCTGCTGGCACCGCCCAACGCGCTCTACCTGGCGCTGGTCCTGGGGCGGGCGGCGCGGGCAGCGAGCAGATCCTTGCGAGCAGGTCCATTCCTGGCGGCCACGAGCGTGCTTTTCCGCCACGCATGCGGGCCGGGCCGGGATGGAGCTTCGGCCCGTGCCCTCCTGGGCGGCAGCGGGTGCCCCTACTCCCGCGGAGACCTGTTTGGGATCGTCCTGGCCCGACTGGAAACCCAGGATGTGGAGGCGCTGGGCACGCTGTGCCATGCCGTGCTGACCCTGGAGGCGGAAGGAGCGCGGACTGTTGGGCCCTCAGGCGATACGGGTCACAACCAGACCTCGCACACGCCGCTGCTCAACCACCTGGCCTTCAACCCGGGCCACCAGACGCTGCTGAGCACGCTGTGGCGCCACCTGGCGCACAGCGTGCCACTCCTCCTGGAGGCGCACAGGGCTTCGAGCCGGGGCTGGGACGTGCCGTCGCTGGCACGGGGGGCGCGCGCGTCCCTGACCTGGGGACAGGCGAGATGCTGGGGCGTGCTGTGCCGCCTCCTGCGCCACCTGCTGGGCGCCCTGGACGACGCGGAGTTTGCGGCGGGCGCGGACGGCTTGTCCCCGGAGGGGCGGCGCGCCCTGACTGCCGCGCTCAACACGATGGTGGTGCGCACGCTGCTGCCGGCGCCGGGCGGCGCCGCGCGTCAAGGGACGGTTGAGGCTGCGGCGGGGGGTAACGTGGACCCTTATGCAATGCTGCTGGAGCAGGGGCCCTGGCTGCACAGGTGCCAATGGGTGTCTGTGTGTGTCGGCGTGGGGGGCTGGGCCTGGGAAACCTGCTCGCGCTGCGCCGCCGTCAGTCCTGAGGGGTTTCCTCGATGGCACACCTGCCTCAGCCGATGGCACTCCGTCCCTGCGGGCTGCTGCCTCCGACTTGCCCGGATGGTGTAGGGTCGCCAGGGCTCATGTTGTTCACACACACGCACTCTTCGAGACCTGCGCTCCTTTACCCGCCTCCCTTCCTACAACCCAACCCAGGGAGCTGTACGAGCGCGACGCCCGCTGCGCCTTCTGCCCCGCCTGCCTCTGGCTGGAGCCGTTCCAGAGCAGCCGGGGCGCGGGCGAGGCCCTGGCCTCGCCGTCCACGCTGCGTGCGCTGTGGGCGCTGCAGGAGGACGCGCGCGGCCCGCGCGCGGCGGGCCTGGCGCCTGCGGGGACGCGCGCGGCGGGCCTGGCCTGCCTGCTGGCCGCCGCGCCTCAGTGCGTGCCCTTCGAGGACCGCGTCATCGTACTGCGGGGCCTCATCGCCGCCGACCGGGCCAGGTGGGCAACTGTGTTTCAGTGGAGGCTGGCGTCGCAGCGCTTGGGGATGGTGGAGTACTGGGCATGCTTCGGGTCGCCGCGCAGCCGCCCTGTGTGGGCTGCCTCTCGGCTGCAGTGAATGAACGGGGAATGTGCACATGAACCTCACCAAGTGTCCAGCATCCACGCCCATCCCCCTTCCCACCCCCACAATCCTTCCACCCAGGCTGGGGCTGGACGTGTCGCCTATCGAGGGCGGCCTGCCCGGCACCCGCTTCACGGTGCGCCGCGCTTTCCTGCTCGAGGACGGCATGGCGGCGCTGCTGCGTCTGGACGCCGCGGCACTCAAGGCCCGCTGCGCGGTCACGTTTGTGGATGCGCTGGGCCGGGAGGAGGCGGGCATTGACGCCGGCGGCCTGCAGAAGGAGTTTCTGGAGTGCTTCGTGGCGGCGGGCGTGGACCCCCGCCGCGGCCTCTTCTCCGCCGTGCCGGGGACGGGGGCGGTGTACCCCAACCCCCTGGCAGCGCAGCTGGAGGGCGGCTGGCTGGCGCTGGAGGCCCTGGGCTCTGCCCTCGGGAAAGCGCTGTACGAGGGTCTGCTCCTGGATGCGCCCCTGGCGCCCTTCTTCCTCCGACGACTCCAGGTGAGGGGCTTTGGGGGGTAATCGGAGGGGGCAGGGGAACAACAGGCATTGGAACGTGACTCAGAGAACCTGCCCAGCCCAGCTGGGTCGGGAACTGAATAGTTCCCACCGTGTATGCACGCCTGCTCGCGCCCATCTCGCCCTGCTCGTTGAGCTACCTCCACGTGACACTCGCTCCTCCACAGGGTCACGTTCCGCAGCTGGAGGACTTGATTGCGCTTGACCCCGGGGTGCACCGCTCCCTGCTCCTGGTCAAGCAGTATGACGGCGATACGCTGGACAGCATGTCCCTCGACTTCACGGCGGAGACTGAGGTTTTCGGCAGGAGGGTTGGCGAGGAGCTGGTCCCAGGGGGGGCCAACGTTCCCGTGACCCTGGCCAACCGCCTCCTGTACGTGCACTCCATGGCGCACTGGCACCTTTCGCGGCGGTTGGGCCCGGCTGCGGGGGCATTTGCCCGCGGCTTCCAGAAGGTGTGATGCCAGTGCTGTGCGCAGAGTAGTTTGTCTTTTGGTTGCTTGGTGGGGAAATGGGGGGGGTGCCTGGACAGCTGCATGCAATACAGGGTGAGGATCCTGCCACTCCCAGCCTTCCTATCTCTGATGGGTTCAGCAGCCAGGGATTTTTGAGAGCTTTGCATCTCATGGAGTCCTGCCGGCCTGTGCAAGACCAGGGCACACAGCCCTTCTTCCTCTCCTCCGTCACCACTGCATCCTTCCCATCAATAAACTCCCGTTCCCTACTCCCTCCATATCAAGCAGGTCTTCCCCACGGCCTGGCTGCGCCTCTTCTCCGCGTCCGAGTTCAACCAGCTCCTGGGTGGGGGCGGGGGCGGGCCCGTGGATGTGGCCGACCTGAGGCGACACACGGTGTACTCCGGGGGCTACACCGACTCCAGCTCCACGATCAAGGCCTTCTGGGCCTGCGTGGCTGGCATGGACGCCACGTCCCAAGCAGCCCTGCTCAAGTTCGTGACCTCCGTCAGCCGGCCGCCCCTGGGGGGGTTCCAGCACCTCGCGCCACCATTCGCCATCCACAAGGTGGCGGGGGGGGGGGGGGGGGGCAGGCGAAGGGGACCGCATGTGCTGCTCGATGCGTGCCTGGTAGTGGAGGGGGTAGGGGGGGGCCCTGGGGCCGCCTCGAAAGGGATGGATGTGTGGAGGCCGAGGGCGATGCACCGACTGGGTGTGCACCTCTCCTCGTGCGTGGATGACTCCCCGCTGATGCCTGTTTGTGTTGGGGTGCCTGGCTCCAGGCGCAGGGGCCGTGTGGCGCTGCTCAGGGCAGCTCTCGTGGGACCCTCCTGCTCGTGCCCGCACACATGTCTGCCCCCCACACTCCCCCCAGGTGGCGTGCAGCGCGTCCCCGCTGGCCATCCTGGGCGGCAGGGACGTGGACCGCCTGCCCACTGCCAGCACCTGCACCAACACGCTGAAGCTGCCGGACTTCAGGAGGAGCGGGACCCTGCGTGAAAAGCTGCTGTACGCCATTCGCGCCGGGGCGGGGTTCGACCTGTCCTGATGAGCACATGCTGCGGATGGCAGTGTGGGGCATGGTGCTTGCGCTGCATGCCGGGAACGGGCCGGGGACGCCCTGGCCCGTGTCGCTTGCCCAGGTGCATCCATTTGAGCACAGGGGGGTGTGCAGCATTCTTCGCTCTCGCCATGACTCGACCGCAATCAGGTCGACAGAGCCTGCCGCTGGCCTTCTGTCAGCATCCCCTTGGCAGGCATGAACAGCCATGTACAAGATGTGGAGGTTCCACTCGAGCCACCGGGCAGGCGGAAATCTCTGGGCACTTCCCTCATGAGCCATCTGGGGGGATTACGTTACAGCAGAGCTTACAACAAGACTCTCGAGCAGGGGCACGGCGGTGCGTGCCTGGACATGACGCCGTGCGGAGTCGCGGTCCGGTCCATGGCCCACGCCCTTCCCGAGATGTTTCAGGTGCGCACGGTCATGTGCCGCAGGATGTTGAACTCGCCGCCTGCCACGGGCGTGGAGAGCAGGCGCTGCACCGCCTGGGAGGTGGGCGGGCTGGCCGTGTAGGTGTACAGAGCATAGATGCCCTCCGTGAACCTGAATTGTTGGCAGGGATGAGGTGGGGAGATGGGAGAAGGCCAAGGGGTGAGTGCTACCCCAAGGGCCCACCCTGTCCACCGAATCTCACGGCAAAGAGCTTCCTTTCTCACGTCTTATTCCTGCCGTCCTGATGAGCACATCACACCCCTCAAAACACGACTCACTTCCTGATGGGGTACGCCAGCCTCTGTCGCCCACGTAGCGTCACGTTGACCCTGCGAGCAGCCTTGCCCTTCAGAAACGCCTCGAACTTTGCAAGTTCCTGGTCCCTGTTGGCATCAAGGGTGAGAAGGGCGATGAGGACGTAAAAGGGGTCTGTAAAACTCACGAAGACAGGGCCCAACGGCAATGTTCCCACGAATCACAGGACACGCCATCGACTTGCCTCTCCTGCTCGCTGAGGGTCGGCCGAAGGATGATCAGGGTCTCATAGCTGCGAGTGCACGGGTGTGTATTGGGTGGTCAGTTGCTCCTGTACTGGAGCTCATGGAGCTCGAGGGAGGGCGCTGCTTGACCTGCAATCGGAATTGTGACCCTCTCACTTGGTGAAGCCGGGAGGGACATCGTCCGTGGTCTCGATCTCGACAAGGGATTCCTGCGATGGTATCACAATTCCGAGAATTTCAATGTCAGGTGCCTTGCTTGCTGGCATGTAGACCAGCAGTCCAAGGGACACAACCCCACCACTCAAGCAGCGACACCCAGACCCATTCACCTGAACGGTCCGTACAGCCAGCGAGCTCCTGTGTGGAGGCCTCTGACTCGACCTAAATGCATGCTGGGATGGAATGGATGCAATGCATCGTGGTGTGAGCGGTAGGAGGGAGCGGGCCGAGCCGGTGCTCGTAAGCCGTGGCTGGGTGGCCGTGGTGAGGATAACCATCACGAGCGGACGAGACGGGTATGCCGATGCCCTTGGGCTAAATATTCCACTCAAGTCTCGTGGTGTGGATTGAAGAGGCATGCGTCCGGAGCATGGGGAGGTGGTGGCGACGGGTGACCAGGATTATCTTCACGGGGGGCCCCGCGCGCGCGATTGGCTGTTCGAGCCTGGGTGACCATGGCCTCCCACTGATGCACCCATCCCCACGTTTCGCACCAGTATCGATCACACAATATCAGTTCGAGGCAAGCTATGTCACGACAGCGCGAATGGTCACATGCAGTGCTGCATCATCAAACCAGTGATAGGTTCCCGGGAGGGCAGCATCCACTGCCCTCCGGAAGCGCCGCACGGCAGCCAGCAGCTCCTCGGGGCCCACCAGGAAGTGAACCAGGGTGACCCCGAGGTGCGCGTCGGCGTAGTGCGCCCTGCGATTGCCGTCGCGGCTGGCAGCAAACCAGTAGTCTGGGGCGCCGGACTCCGCCAGGATGCTTGCCACCCTCTCCTCCTGCTCACGCGGCGGCAAAGCCCCCTCCCCCTCGCGTGCGGGCCTCAAGGGGACGCTCTGGACGCTCAGCGTCCGCTCCAGTGAGCGGCACTGGTGCACCACCAGCTGCGCATCCCGGACCCGCAGGGAGGCCGCCGAGGCCAGGTCGGCGCTGTGCTTGGCGCAAAGGTCCAGCAGCACCCGCAGCTGGTCGGGGGTGAGGCGCTGCCTGTCGTGCAGGCAGCCGAGGGAGGTCTTTGGCCAGAGGGAGCCCGGCTGCTCGGAGGGAAGGCCCTGGACATTTGCAGTCAGGCGTGCCTTCAGGTCAAGGAGCGCCGCCGGGAAACCCCTGTTTTGAATGCGGGGGGAGTTTGAGAGAGTTAACACGCGGGCTGCAATGAGATGTTGCCCGCTCAAGGGGAGTTGTAGGCAGGGTGGAGACCTGGCGATCATTCCAACATGGCCCATGCACCTGCTGGTCACAGCAAACCTCTTGCCTGTATGCAAATGTGAGTACGCCCTGCCACGAAACGAAGAATGCGAGGGGTTTGAGCTCGCACTGTCTAGACAATTCCAATTCCTTCACAAGAAGAGAGTCGTATTCCTGCTTCATCGCTGGAGTGGAAGTGGGTTGGCATCCATTCCGCATTTCTCTTGCCCGCAATAAGTACTCGACCAACAATCTACATGTGGGAGTCTACTGATATAGGCTTGACAGTCGATGTCGAACAGGCATTTTCCTGAATAAGACTGAGCGTTGCCGGGCGATGTGCTGCCCAAAGGCATCGACGCCCGCCCAGCAGATTTTCCTTCTGCGGCCAGGTCGTGTCGGAAGCCGTGAGGGGTCCTGTAGTACCATTCCCTTGCGGAGAGGATTCCATCCTCCGACAATATGGTGCCGCCCATCTCATGCTTAAAGAGTTGCCGTTGCAGCGTCATGTCAAGTTGTTGTGTACAGATATTCCTTGATTGCTCAGCTTGGCTGTAAAGCCGTCGTGGCTGAAAAGCAAGATAAATCGGCTGTGCTCCTCCCACCAGCCCATCAACATAATGATCATTGGGCAGAAGGGCGTCAAGTACGGGCTCACAGTAAAAGGTCCCAAGACCAGTGCTGCCTCCAAAACGCTCAAACCATCGGTGTTCGAAGCGGGCGACTCTGACGACGAGCATGACAACGTGGAGCAACAGATTGCTCGACAGCAAGTCCGGAAGCAGGACGACCAGAAGGTGCTCCTAGATTGGAAACGTGCAAGAAATATGTGTTGGATGTTTGTCTCGCATGCATATGCTTTGGGGGAGATTAGGGCCGGTGGTTCTCAGCAGTAGAATTCCTGTCTCGACGGTCGTGTGGCGCCTTCTGCCGCGAAGCCTCTACTCAATCCTCTAAACGCAAGGGAAACATGCCGAACTCTGACCATAACGTGGATATATGCAGGTAGCAGCGTTGCATGCCGCAGCTCTGGCTGAGGACGCCGCTGTGTTTGACTACGATGGCCACTATGATGCCATTCAGGAGGCCAGGGAGGAGCCCAAGCGCAGAGAGAAGAAGGAGCGCCAATCCCGCTACATTGCTGGACTCCTAGGTGGGCATTGCTGGGACGAGAAAGGTTTGCTGGAGTGCCTGTGTCAAACCTTTGGCCCAGCAGGGCTTCAGCATCCCCTGCCCGGCCTGTTGTGGTGCAGAGAAGGCTGAGGAGAGGAAGCGGGAGCAGGACGTCCTGTATGAGCGACAAATGCTCAAGGAGAGGGCAGCCGAGGATCATCTGTTTGGGGACAAGGAGCGCTTTGTCACCGCTGCCTACAAGAAGAAGCTGGAGGAAGACCAACGCTACGTCGCCAACCAGAAACGCATGTGAGTCGGGAGTGCCCTGCACGAGCTGGGGCGTCCGGTGGAAAATCAAACACGGGGCTCCCTCTGAAGTTTGTCCTGCTTGAAACTCTTTTGCTCTGGCTGGTGGGAGCAAGGGAGCAGACCCTTCATCTACATTGGCAGGCACCGGTCGTCCTAGCCCCCTCTGCTGCCGAATTTCCCTCCTGATGATCCTCCTATCACAATGTCATGCAGCCAAGCGGATGAGGAGGCGAATGCGGTCGAGAAGAAGGGCCACATGGGCAACTTCTATCGCAACCTCTTCAAGAGCAATGTGGCGTACAATGGCAGTTCCAGGTGCCCAGGGCTGCAGAGCAGGGGATTGTTCCTCAGGGTGTCCCAGGGCTGGGTGCATGCTGGTGGAGTTGAGGAGGGTGCGCTGATCTATTCGAAAAGAGTGACGCGACGGGTGCCACACCTCTCTCTAACGCTACTATGCCCAGGGCGGGAGAGGCGGCTCAGAGTGCAGCATCCTCTTCACATGCACTTGTGGCATCCAGAGATGGGGGAGCCGCAGAGAGACCAGTGCCGGCAAGCCGAGGCAATGAGGTGGAGCCAGCCTTCGAGCCCATGCCTAGTGCAAGTGGGGAGCGTCCTGGCGCGCTGCACCATGTGTCTGGGTCGGAAAGGAAGATCGAGGCCGAGAAGCGACAAGAAGGGCCATCCCAAGACAGTGCAGATGAAACAGCAGGCTCGGAGGACGAGGCTGGCAAGGCTGTGGGGTCCACAGCAGCGCCTGCCAAACCCTCCTTGCGGGACAGGCAGAAATCTGTGGCTGCGGCGCGGGAGAGGTACCTGGCTCGCAAGCGGAAGACGGCTGAGGGATAAATTAATACGGGTTGCGACGAAGGCCTGTGCAACCTGCACCTTGGCAGCCTCCTGTGATTGCCATTCTGTGTGTCAATTACAATGGTGCCCAATCTTGAATACACTGGGCATCCCGGGTTTGCCTGGGATGGGGAAGAAACCATCAGGGGCATCCATGAGATGAGTGTGAGGGGTCTGATCAAGGATCGACCTGAAGATCTAGTTAAACACTGTCGTGAACGTGCATCGTCTATCAGGCGACTGGGCCCCCTATCAATCATTCGCACATTCGAATCACAATGCGGCGCGTGCGGCGCGCAGCTGTCCTGCTCAAACTCGGTGGCGCAGTCTCATCGGGCCGAGTAAAGTTGTACAATCGATTTACTCTGACGCTGATGAGCTGAGAAGAGAGGTAACAGAGAGCCTCTCCGCGTGTTGGTACGCCGCCTTCAGCTCAGTGTCTCGAGATTCAACCATGGTGCTCGAACTTCGCACCCGTCAAAGCCGCGCATTGGTCGATCCAATCTCGGATGACGAGGACAGCTTCGACGATGTATTGCCCTTACAAAAGACCAAATGCAATGTCAAATACCTTGACAAGTTTAGGTGAGTACGCCGTGTCAGGGCCTTGCTGCGACCTGGGCCCCTATGGGGGCACAGTGTGGGCCAGCCCCGATTCCAAAATGCCTCCCCCCGACTCCACAGGTGTGCGTCCGACTCGACTCATAGACGTCTCTCAGAGCCAAAATCAGGTATGTTTCCCCAGCCCTCAATGCTTCGGGGTGGCATGTGCAAACCGCTGGACTACATTCCTCCTCTGTGAGTGAGGTTGCATGGAACAGCTGGTAAGACCACACATACACATCGGCATGTCCTCCACCCCACCCTCTGTGCAGGCTTGCTGGAGCAGCAAGGCTGGAAACTTGCAGGCAGAAAAGCGGCGCCGGTACCTGCTCCCACTGCGCGAAGGAGCACTCGTCCAGCTGCCACCAATCCTCGCGTCACTGTGATCGACGATGTGAGGGCGTGGGACGCGGCTCATTCAGACATGGGTCTGCTTGATGTATTCAACCCATCGCATCCCTTGTCTACTGTTGCTGATGGTATGACATCTGCTCCCAGCCTTCTCCCTCCCTGTTCCTCCAGTCGAGTGAGGAGGAGTGCCCTGACAGCGTCAGTGAGGGCTCCATGGCGGACAGCGATGCGTCCTCGCAGGATAACGAGGAGGATGTCGGGAGTGTGGGATCGGCCGACAGCACCAGCCAGGATGAGGAGGACGAGGAGGAGAGCAACTCATCCGGGGACGACGCCTGGCCCTCAGATGCAGAGAACGTCCCACAGAATGCCCAGCAAAGAAATGAAGTGGCAGCTGGCGAAGCGGGTGAGTCAAAGTGTGCGCCTGACGCCGCCGCATGATATTAAGGGTCGGAGTCCAGGCCTCGCATCACCTTGCCTGTCGTAACAGAGCAGTGTCTGTTGCAATCACCCATTGTCTACGGCATCACACCTGCGCCAGGAGCCAAGGTTGGCCCCAAGCCATCGCGCCCAACGAGCGTCAGAGGTAGGCACTGGGGTCAGGGGCCGGGGACCTTTGGCCAGTCCAGGCCCTGGCATCATGTCTGCCTGCCCAGAATCTGTCTCTGTAATCATTGCCAAAGTGTGGTTCTGTTTGAACACGTGCAGGGGCCGCGCTGCTGGCGGACAAGATCCTGGACACGCGTGATGGAGCCGATGGCGCGCCGGAGTGCCTCGTGAAGCTCAAGGGTGCGCATTTCGCTCCTCTGCAGGGTTGCTTGACGGAGCCCATTGTTTTTGGCAGGACGGATGGACTCTTGATTCTGTAGAGAGTATCTCGTTTCATTGTTGTCGGTCCCGCTTGGCGCCACGGTGTGGTGGGCCTATGCCACATGCTCCCGACCCAATCACCACCCTCCGCAAACCCTTGGTCCTCCAGACAAGAGCTACCGAGAGGTGCAGTGGCTGCCCCGCAGATCCCTGGAGGAGACCAAGCCGGGCCTGCTGCGCGGCTTCCTGAAGAGGCAGGAGGCAGGCGAGCTCAACCCCTACGGGGACCTGGCCTCGGGCATCCACGCCGACTGGACGGTCGTGGAGCGCGTCATTGCGCACCGAGCAGGGCCGGCCGAGCGCTTCCTCATCAAGTGGAAGGGGCTGGGGTACAGTGAGGCTACCTGGATCCCTGCCTCCGACCTCCAGCCAGCAGACCAGGCAAGTCTACCGAAAGAGAGGCAGGCGATCCCGGGAGGCATGATGAGGGTTGCTGGGTCAAGAGATTGCTTTTTTGGTTTGTCACACCACCCTGATCGACTAGACACCAAGAGGCGACAAGCCACATTGGCTCTGACAACCTGAGATGTGGAGGCTGGGGACCCCTTTCGTGTCTCCAGCCATTCATCAGCCCCTGACCGCGCCTCCCTGGTGCAGGCTGCAGTGACGCGGTACCATGAGCTGCGCTCACCGGGGTACCACAAGAAGCTCACCCAGGCTGCTGCCTCCAACCCGAAGACCACCGCAGGTAGGTTGTGTGGCGCTCCTCGCACCTTCACGTGTCGTGTAGGGCAGCCTCTGTGACCCCTCCGTCCCGGTGCCAGCTGTCTACTGTATAGCGTGGCTGCATCTCGTCACCTGCATGCTCATACCATCTGCTATGCACGCCATTCGCCACTCTACCCCCCTCGCACTCTCCCCACCCCCAAAGTTCCCACCTTCTGCAACGGGCGCGAGCTGAGGGCGTACCAGAAGGAGAGCCTGGCTTGGATGGCAGCCAACTGGGTGGCCGGCCGGAGCTGCATCCTGGGGGATGAGGCAAGGCCAGGAGGGAGGAAGAGAGGGTTGAGCTGGGAATGGTGTCCCCTGGACCTTGTTCATCAGCAAGGCCGGACGGCGAGACGGTCTCCGTGGCGTCGGCCACGCCGGAACGCAGGTCCTACTGCCAATTCCTGAACCATGCCCCAGCACTTCGTATTCCTTGCTCATTCCCCAAAGCCACACTGTCTTACGCCTCTTCGGAACGCTGCTCCCTCCCAATCCCCAACCCATGCATACCTCCCCCCCTTGAACACCCCCCCCTTTGCTCCAGATGGGCCTGGGCAAAACAGCCCAGTCCATCGCCATTCTGGCGCTGCAGCAGCAGTCTGGCGGCGTGGCCGGCCCCTTCCTGGTGGTGGCCCCGCTGACCACGCTGGGTCACTGGCAGCGCGAGATCGAGGCCTGGACCGCGCTGGACTGCGTGGTGTACGCTGGCAGCGCTGCAGACCGCGAGGCCATCCAGGTGCACGACCTGTGGCGCGCCGCGGGGCCGGCAGGCGGCCGTGCGATCCGCCCCAGCATCGTGCTGGTGTCCTTTGACACCATGCTGCGCGACAAGGCCCTCTTCCTGGTGAGAACGAAGGGTTTTCCGGGGGGGGGGGAAGGGAGGGAATGGGGGGGGAGGGGAGGGTGGAAAAATGGCGTGGGCCAAAATCCTGGTGGATGCAGTGTTCACCTGAAGCATCTGGATGAAAGTTAAGAGGTCCTGAACTGCCGCAAAACCCTCGGACGGGGCAGAGACTCGACTCTGACCCCACACCTGACTCGAGTCGCACCTTCCCCACACAGGACGTCCACTGGGCGACGGTGGTGGTGGACGAGGCGCACAGGATGAAGTCCAGTGGCTCAGCCACGCGGGCGGTTCTGGAGGCCCTCCCGCGCCACTGGCTCCTCCTGCTCACGGGTGAGGGGGGAGGCGCATGAGGAGGGCGTCAATGGCGAGTCTGGGGACACGCATGTCTGGTCCTGGGAGAGGACATGGCAAGGACAAGCATGTCAGCACCGATCACGCCGACATTGCAGTCCCATGTACGTGCCACATGGATTGACTGCGTGCCGCTCTGCCCCAGTCCTCGGGGTCGCACAATCCCATTTTCCAACGCCTGGCGCAGGGACGCCAGTGCAGAACAACATGCGCGAGCTGCACGGTGAGGAGCAGGAATTGCATGCTGCGCCCTGAATCAAGCGAGCCGTGTGATGCCAGGCTGCTGACGACCCTGGGGTCCCTGCCGCCCATCACCTGTGCTCGCCCGTCGCCCTCCATATCAGGTCTGCTCAGTCTTGTGGACCCGGTGCTCTTTGGCACGGAGTCCGAGTTCCTGGGCCGGTACGGGGACGAGAGGACCGGCATGGAGGCCGCACAGGTCCAGCGCCTCAAGGTGAGCTAGCGGGAGGAGAGATGCTGCACACCCCAGAAGAACTGGTGCCATGATGACTCCACCCCGGGCGGAAGTCTCCAGTGTGTTTTGGAGCGCGCCAAGGCTCGTCACAAGCACCATCAGCCCTTGCCCTCACCCTGGACCGCTGCATGGGCATCGTCACACTGTGGCGCCTCACCCGCATGCGCACACTCATCACGCCCGACCATCACGCAGGTGGCACTGAAACCCATCCTCTTGCGGCGGATGAAGGAGGATGTGGAGACGCTGCCGGAGAAGGAGGAGGTCATCATCTGGGTGGAGCTCACCACGACGCAGCGGGCCTACTACCGCGCCATGTATGAGAAGCAGATCGGCGTGGTGAGTACATTTCACGGATGAGAGGGCCGGGGGAGGGAGGGGAGATGGACATGTGTGTGCTAAGGATCGGATGGCAGCACTCCAGGACCGCTGCGGGTGCTGTCACAGCAGCGAGGCTCAAGCATACCGTCCGCGCAAAGCTGCTGGCTGCCATCGTATCAACCATGAGATCCCTAACGCAAAATCACTTGACGCAGCTGCTTCAAGGCGCTGCACCCCGGAACCTGCCAAACCTAAAGAACCTGGCGATGGAGCTCCGCAAGATCTGCTGCCATCCAGTGAGTGGCTGGGTGTTGGTTTGAAAGTTAGAGCTCTCATGCTTCGCGACTGCCAGCAACCCCTGTGCTTCCTTGAAGCTACCGTTATCATTCCCAGGATCCAAACAAAGCAAACACTCGCCCCCCCCAAAAAACCCTTCCCCCTAAGTTCCTGTGCAATGGGCTGGAGGACGACCTCATGCGACGGGAGACGGAAGCTGGGCGGAAGCTGGACACCGCAGCGCGCATGACCGCCGCCAGCGGCAAGATGCTGCTCCTCTCCAAGCTCCTGCCCAAGCTGCGGAGCGAGGGCCGCAAGGTGCTCATCTTCTCCCAGTTCAAGATCATGCTGGACGTTCTGGAGGACTACCTGGACGGGGAGGGCTGGCCTCATGAGCGCATCGACGGCTCCACGCCCTCTCGTGACCGGCAGGCCGCCATAGACCGCTTCAGCGCAGGCAAGACGGACAGCGAGGGGCGGGGTCGGGTGAGGGGCAGCTGGCGCCACAGGAGGGGTGGTGCTGAGGATTGGTCTTGGCCATGTGTTGTGGTTACTGGGAGTGACTTTGGTTGAGCAAGGGTGGCCTACTTCCCAATGTGCTCAGGTGACAAGGGACCCTACCGCAAGATCTTCTCCTCACCATCGCTCAGCACTCCACACACTCGTCGTGCAGAGGGCTCGGACGGTTTCGTCTTCCTGCTGTCCACCCGCGCCGGCGGCCAGGGCATCACCCTCACGGCTGCCGACACCTGCATCATCTACGACTCCGACTGGAACCCCCAGAACGACCTGCAGGCCATGGCGCGGTGCCACCGGATCGGTGAGGGTGGAGCAGTGCTCCATGGACTGCTTGGCAATTTATTGCTGTTGCTTGAGATGAAGAAATAGTGTAAGCAGCTGCTGAACTCGGACTACTTGTGGAGTTGCTCTACCGTCCAGGAGGCTTTACAAAAAGAATGCACTACGATGTGCGCCTGCTGGCTCATGCCGTTTGTCCCAGAACCACCGACTACATCTGCAAATTCACTGCTGCAGGTCAGCACAAGGAGGTGACCATCTACCGCCTGGTCACCAGGGACACCTATGAGGCCAAGGTCTTCGAGATTTCCTCTCGCAAAGCAGGTGCAGCCGGAGGGGGTTCAGTGAGGGGGGCAGGGAGAGGGTTACTAACTGCACCTGCATCCAGAGTGGTCGGCAAGATACTGTAGTGTGACGCACATGCCACCACTCTTTGCCCTTTGGCGATACCCATCCCTCCCCCCACCGGTCCCACCAAGGACCACCCCACCCCTCGCTCCCTTCGGCTCAGGACTGGACGAGGCCATCCTCGGAGTGACGGGGCCCCAGCAGGACCCGGAGTTGGACAGCCGCAAGATCTCGGAGCTGCTGAAAAACGGCGCGCATGGACTGGAGGACATGGCGGCGGCGGCTCAGCAGGTGAAACGGGGATTCATGGAGCGTGCCTGTTCTCATCTGCCAGCCCTTGCCATGCCATGCGCCGGCTCTGCAGCCTCCAGATGCCCTGCATTTCTCTGGCTGACCCCTTATTCCAGCCAGCCCTGCGCACCGTACCTCAACGCCTCCCCCACCCCAACCCATCCCTCTCAAATCTGCGCAGAGCAACGAATTCGTGTCGGAGGACATCGGTCAGATCCTGGCGGGCCGCACCGAGAAGCGCCAGATCGGGAGCCGGGCCGGCAACTCGTTCTCGGTGACCTCTTTCGCGGCGACGGGCGCGGGGCGGCAGGCGGGCGCGGACGCGGGCGAGGACTACTGGCAGAACCTGATGCCCAGCGCCGTCGCGGCGCACGAGGCCGCGGCCGCCGCGGCGGCTGCGCCGCAGGCTCTCGCCCCCCGCCGCCGGCGCGTCGTGGATTACAGCGACAAGGTAGGCTGGGCTGGAAGCTTGGCAACTCAGGGATGGATTGCTTTGGGCGGGGCAAGCGCTCTGTGGCAAGTCTTGTCGCTGCAGAGCTGGGAGCGGTTGGTGTGTGGTGTGCGCGGTGGATGTAGAAGATGCCGAGCGTGACCTGGTCCCGCGTCTGCCAGGACCTTTGGACCCTCAAATTAACCCCCTACCCCTCACGCCAGGCGCGCAAGGTGGGGAGGCGCCGCAAGCAGGAGGAGGAGGACGGCGACGACTCCACCTACGAGGCGGAGCCGGGGTCGGCGAGCGGCGACGACCGTGCGAGCAGCGGCGGCGAGGAGGACACAGAGGGCGTTGACGCCACGACCACAGCGGTGAGATTGGGGACAGGGGGACCGGCCTGCTGCCGGCGCATTGCCTGGATCTGGCAGGGCAAGGGGCACTGGGACAGCAGCAGTTAAAGCAGCATGCTTTGAGGGTTGGGAGACGGGGCAAGAGGGCACGGGGTGAAATGCCTGATGCAGTGCTAGACGAGGCACGGTGACTCTCCGTCGGGAACATCATCCTGCGTGCCTCAACCATTCTCAGCTCGTGTGCTGGTAATTCCACTTTGGCCAGACCCATAATCTTGCAGTCATTGAAGAACGGCCCCCCTCCTCTGCATCTCCGCTCCTGCCAGGCCCAAGCCCGCAAGCCCCGCAAACGCTGGCCCAAGGGCGGCCCCCGGCAGTGGAGCCCCGCGTCGGTGACGGCGTTCGAGGACGCGCTCCTGTGCCTGGGCGAGGACCGCGCGGAGGAGGCCATGCAGCGCATCGGCGCGACTCACTGTGCGGACCTGGGGCCTGAGGCGGCGCCCGCCCTGGCCTCCTTTGTCCGGCTGCTGGCGGACACGGTGGCGAGCACGCCCTCCCCTCCCAGGCCCGAGCTCCCGTCCGACACCCTGCAGCGGCACCTCAACATGGACTGCCCCCCCGTCGCGGCGCTGTGTCCGCAGGAGGTCCTGGAGGCCGGGGACGAGGCTGTCGATGCATGGCTGCGCGACTTCACAAGCGAGAAGGTCGAGGCGGCCACGGCCTGGGCGAGGAGCGAGTTCGAGGCGCGCGTGCCCGAGTTCTGGGCGGAGCACGTGATGGGCCGCATCGCTGAGCAGATGCCCCCCCGCCTCGCCAAGGTGAGGGGCGGCCCCGGGCCGGGAGGGGTGGGGCCTGCAAGCGCCCAGTCGCCGGCTGCCCCGGCTCTCCAGCGCCGATGATGCATGGGGTCGGGAGCCCCTGCTCCGTGTTGCACCCAGACAGGCACTGGCCAGGTGGAAAGACACACCCTCACATGCCCGCGCTGGCCCCATGCCGCAGGTGGTATCACAGCCGGAGTACCAATCGCGCTGGACGCTGCGTGGCGCTGCCTTTGCCAACTGCCTGAAGCAGTGGAAGGTGCTCGCCGCCCAGCGCGGCCGCCCCATCCCCTTCCCCGAGGGCGCCTACCGCACGTGAGTGACCGCCCCCTTGGGGCCAGACAGGGCTGTGTGGACACACTTGCCGGAGGGCGGCGGGCCCAGCGCCGGCCCTTGCCCCTGCATCACCCTGCGATGCCATCGCCATCCCACTCTTTACCTCGCCACCCTGCCCAGGATCGTGCATAAGAAGGTTGCGGACTGGTTCACTGCCAGCCATTTCCAGACGATGCTGGAGGTGGTCCAGGAGGTTGGCTTTCCCGTGTGTGGCACCCGGGGACTGGCACAGGCCATGGAGAAGAGCGTCCTTTCGCACCCAAGGCAGGTCCAGGGCCGGCGGCGCCTTCAAGGAGGGAATCTGGTTGCATGGCCGAGGGAGGGGGGGTGGGCGTGTGGGAGGGGGCGTCGATTGACAGAGGATGAGGCGGAAGGCGAGTCTGCTTCCAAGGCACCCACCGACGGTAACCCTGCAGGATGCAGGCGATCATGCAAAAGGACGGTGATAGCAATGGCCACCAACTGGACCATGTCCGCGAGCTCGACCATGCTAGGAAGGACTCCCCTACGCTGTTCCTCCCAAAGCCGGTATGCAGTGGGAGAAGATTCCACAGGCTAGGCCAGGGGGAGGTGGGCCTACAATACTCTTGACCCCGGATGTGCATCTTGTTGGTGCGAGTGGCCCTGTGGCGGCCCTGCATCCGTCCCTGGGCTGGGTAGGGTCGCAGGCCCTTGCATGCCTTCGTCTGCACTCCATCAGAAGACTGGCTGTGCGTCCCTGCAGATATGGAGACATGCCACGAGGGGCCTGACAGCCTTCCTGGTCGACACCATGGGCCGCCTGTCCCAGCTGATCGAGGAGGACGAGCGGAAGCGTCAGATCCAGTCGGCTCCCGTCCTCGAGCTCGGCTTGGCGCCTAGGTGAGTGGCCTCAGCGAGGATGCTGCCGGGCAGTGCAGGGCCGGGTGCTATGGGGTGCATCCATTGCGTGACTGCTTCCAGGGAGGGCTCCAAGGGCGTCCCTCCCAGCTGCGTCAGTCGGCTCTTGGCTGTGCATGCGATCTGATCCTGACCTGGAACAGGCTGCTTTCCCCTGTTGAAATTTCTTCACCCTCCATGCCGTGGCCACAGGGAGGCAGCACATGCACTCAGAGTGCAGGCCATGGACACTGACGACCAAGACCCTTACAGCATCCTGTACGGGAAGGACAACGGGAACAGAGCGCCGGTCGAAGTCCCACGGCCGCTGTTGTCTGGGACGAGTGACAAGCCTGTCCCAGGCCCTGCAATGGCCGTCGCCCCGGAAGCAGCACCCAGCGGGCAGAAAGACAGGGAGGCTGGCACCACGCTGCCGCTGGAGCTCCATCGCGCGAGCAGGGGACCGGGTCAAGGGTCGGTTGCCAAACGCCCTGGCAAACAGATGTCCATGAGTGCCTTCATGTGCAAGAAGCCAAAGCCGGCTGTGGTTGACCTGGTCGAGGAAGGCGGCGAGGAGCCTCCCACCGTCCTGCTGCATTGATCGGCAGGTCTGACAGACTACTCTCTGAGCAGTAATCTCACCCTAGACTATGGCTTACTACTACACCTCAAGTTCATCAGACACCTTGAACAGTAGCACAATGGGTGAATAGCATTAAATTGTTCTTCCTCTGTACCACCGACTGTTGCAGTGGCACCATTCACTAAGGGGGGCCAGTCAGTTTCGGCAGTTGGTTACCACTGGAAACCCTACCGACTCTCCAGAGCGGACCCGGGCGCGCGACTGCATGGGCAAGCAGCTGCCCAGGATCTGGGGTTCATGTGGAGCTGGCTTAAGCTTACGTTCGAGAGTTCTCTCAGATCCTGATAAGACCAAGCACCACTGCGCGCAAGGTGCGCATGCGCGACCTGAGCGGCATCCCACCCCACACGCTCCGAAACGGAAATCACAGGAAGCTTCATGTGGCATCCCCCCTATATACTGCGTCGTGATTTGGAGCTTCACATAACTCCGTGACGTGAAATCCATCCAATTAGACCGCCAGGGGCATCTGTGTCGTTGTTTTGCGCGAGTTTGGGCCATACGTGCACCAGCTCAACGCCTCTGCACCCACCATCCGGACCGATTCCGGGAACTTGAGCGAGCATCAGGAACAGTGCGTATTGTGGTTGCTCGCCGTAGGTTGACGCGCTCTGTACATGTCAGCCAACATGTCTTCGACACCCTCCACGACCACCCCTCCCGCCGCCTTTCCTCTATACACGGAGGTGCGAGTGTAGGGGGCGAGCATACCATGCAAAACCCAACTGAGGCTGATTGGGGCGAGGGGTCTCGTTGCCTTGCTCTAACACAGCTCATGCTGTTCCACCAAGTTTAGCATTCCACTCCTCCTACACACGACCTATTCAGGCGTTCAACGCATCGTGGCTGTTCTATGAGGCACAGATCAGCGGGCCAAAACCCCCCTGGAGCAGGATCAAGTATCGCGGGGATGCACACCTGGACGACGCAGTGCCGGGTGGATGGTGAGCTGGAGATTTAAGGCCAAGGCGTTGGGTGATGGTGCTCAGGATGCAGCGGCTTTGGTGATGGAGGCTCACTGGTCCCTGTTGCTTCCCCCCTTCTAACACAACCGTACTATGCCGTGCACCGGGGCTGGCCACTACCACATGAATAGCAAGCCCTTCCCGCCCTCTCCCTGCCAGGTACGACGCCGGCGACCACCTGAAGCTCAACTTCCCCCTGGGCCAGGCAGTGTCCTTCCTGGCCTGGGCTGCTCTGGACTTCCCCGAGGCCTTTGCCGCGGCCAGCCCTGCCAACAACCCGGTGGAGAACATCCGGCTCGCAGCGCAGTACCTCATGGACTGCCACGTGGGTAAGCACGAGTATGTGGGCCAGATCGGGGACCCCGACATCGACCACGATTACTGGGGCCGGCCGGAGGAGCAGCGCGGTAGTCGCCCCACTTTCCGGTGGACACTCGCCACGCCCGCCAGCGACCTCCTGGGCTCGGTGGCTGCGGCCCTCGCCGCCAGCCACCTGCTCCTCAAGGGACGGGATGAGAAGATGGCTGCTGAGCTCCTGCGCCATGCAGAGGAGCTGTACGCCTGGGCCAAGGAGGTGCAAGGTGAGCGGGGGAGGAGGGGAGGGCTCGGACTGGGTGGAGTTTGTGCCAGGAGGATGGAGGTTGAACAGCGCTTGGGCGTGGAAGCGTGCAGGCTGACGGCATGTCATGCGAGTCACCCAGCACAAGCACAGCCACTGCGGCATCCTGCTGCACCCATTGAAACCAGCGGCTGCCCGGTTGCCCCCATGCAGGCAAGTACAACGCGGCCCACAAGGGCGCAACACACGTCTACCAGTCCAGCCGCTTCCTGGACAAGCTCATGTATGCGGCGGCCTGGCTATTCAGGGCGACCGGGCAAGGACGGTACGCTGATGATGCGCTGGCCCACTGGCGAGCCGCCGGCGGCAGCGGCGACGTCGTCACGAGCTGGGACTCGCTCTCCGTCCCAGCCCTCAACCTGCTGCTGGGCCTGGCGGCGCAGGGAAAGGCGGTGCCTGGAAAGGACGAATATGAAGCCTGGTTCCAGAACAATTTTCTGTCCGCCTGGTTTGACCCCAGAAGCGGTGAGTTGGGTTGGTGGGGGGGGAGAAAGGGGGGATGACGGAGACTGGCTTCTGGAGACACAATGCAGTGGATCAGTACCTTCATCACAGGGCGCCACGAGAGAAAGTCACGCTGACATGCACGGTTGCCTTTGTGGCTAAGCCAATCTGCTTAGCTCTCATCCACCCCTCTGACCCCACCCTCCTCCTGTAGGCCACTGGGACATGAAGAAGTCGCCAAAGGGGCTCATTGTCCCCGGATTTGCTGACTTTGGGAACCTGCGCTATGCCTGCAACACCGCCTTCATGATGGCGCTGCGCGCCTCCTACTCGCCGAGCGAAGAAAGCAAGGCCCTGGCCTGGTGCCGCCAGCAGCTGGACTATGTGCTGTGGTCCACCGGCCGCAGCTTCGTGGTGGGGGTTGGGAGCGGGTACCCGCTGCGGCCGCACCACCGAGCCGCCTCCATCCCAGCGGCAGCCGCGGGGCAGGGGCGCGTCTGGCAGTACCACAACAGCCCGGACCCCAACCCGCACGTCCTGACGGGGGCGCTGGTGGGAGGGCCGGTGAGGGGCGACGATGGGTACGAGGATGCGCGCCCCAACTTCCGGGCCAATGAGGTCGCGGTGGACTTCAACGCCGGGTACACTGGGGCGCTGGCGGGCGTCCTGGCCATGGAATCGCGCAGCCTGCAGATTTCCACCAACTGATGTGGCTACAGTGCGAGATGCTCGGGCGAATGCATTGGGCATTGGCCGACAGGCTCCTGAACATCATTGGCTTGTTCCCCAGGATACGATCAGAGACTGAGTAATGCTAACGACCCCCCTCCGACTGATTTGCCACGGTGCGTTTGAGGTCATTTGTCTGATCAACGCAGCGCCCTTCCACCCTGTGTGGTTGTAACGAATTCCTATCTAAAGGGACCCCCCTACGATACCATGTTAGCACAGCGACTCTCTCTCCTTGTAAATAAGCGGAACTGAGGCCCGGAACCTGGACCGCTGCACTCTCCGACACGGCACACTCAGGCTTAAGGGCTTACATCTCCCAGAACGCCGACGAAAGTAATACACACCAACCGTTTCCCGAAAATGTCCAAATCTGGGGGCCTGGCGGAGGCTGACAGGCTTTTCTCGGAGGGCACGAAACTGATCAACCCCTCGGTGTTGGCTCTCCGCTTCAAGGCGCAGTGGTCCACTGCAACGCCTCTATTTGAGAGGGCTGGTCTTCTATACAGGGTGAGATGCGCGAGGGGCGGGAGACTATTTTGCATGTGCGACGATGCCCCCTGGTCACCTCATGCTGCCATTCCCTCAAGCACCACAGCAACATGGGGAGCTGGCCCAGGCTCGCACGGCATTCGAGAGGGCCGCCAAAGGTCAAGAGCGCCAGAATTCCGGCTGGCATGCCGCCAAGAATTGGGAGAAGGCAGGTGCGAGGGAGTTGGAGGGAGGGGGGAGAAGAGGCCTTGCGGCCGCGGTCCTCACTGAGATCCATCATTCACCACCTCACACATGCTTGCGCAGCCGACATAGCTCGGGCGCAGTCAGATGCAGCAGGTATCGAGTCTTGCAGCCTGGCTGCTGCCGAACAGTACTGTGGGGAGGGCCGCCTGCCAGCAGCAGCAGACGCAGCAGTCAAGGGTGCCAGGGCCCTCGAGACGCTTGCACCAGAGGTATGAGTGTCACATTGCCTGTGACGTGGCATCGCCTGGCTGGCTGCATGTCTTGGTCCTCTTGTGGAGTTGGAGTGGATTCATGTCCAGGGAGTCGTGGAGTATCTGGAGTGGTGATTCTTGCCGCGCTAGAGCAAGGTGAACGCCCCACTCAGGCCATAAACGCAACGCAGATGTATCCCACGCTTCAACCCTAGCCACCCCTTTCGTTTTCACCCCAGGTTGCCACAAAACTGTACGCCAAGGCAATTGAGTGGCTGGAAGATTCTGGGAAGGATGGCACATCAGGAGACACGTACAGGTGGGACTAGGGCCAGAGTCACTGTCCTGCAGGATGCTTGTCCAGTTGCAGTGCAGAGCGTGCACGCCCACACAGGCACCCTTGCATAGACCCACGTAACCTTTATTGGCTTGCCTGGATTCTCAGCGTGGGCCTGCGTTGGGCAGGGTAGTGTATTGTCTAAGTCACCAGCATGACTCGGCTAGGCGTCAATCATTACAACTCTCGGACCCTGCTCCACCGCCCCTCAATGCACCTCAGGCTGGCCATCGCGCATGCCGTGCGAGGGGCCCGCTGGGAGGTGGCGGGCCCCCTCCTGCTGCGATTCGCGGCCTCCTGCGACGCCGCAGGGGCAAGCAGCAGCCAGGCCAAGGCCTACCTGGGGGCGGTGGTGGTCTGGCTCTCCGCCGCCCGCCCCAAGGAGGCCTGGGCCGTGTACCAGGACGCCCTGGCCGTCAGCGCCTTTTGCACCAGCAACGAGGCCTTTGCCGCAGAGGCCCTGTTCGACGCCTACCGCACCGCGTTCCCCGCCGCAGTGGCGGCTGCGGTCAGCGGCAACCAGGCCTTCCTGCACCTCGACAACCAGGTGTGCGGCGTCTCTGGTGGCACTGTGGCTGCAGTCGGCTTGTCCTGGCTGAGGGATCACGGTTTGCACTGCCCTTCCAACATGATCCCTGCGCATTCCGTCCCTGGACCCCTCCGTCATCATTCACAGCTGGCCCGGCTGGCTAAGAAGCTGGGGGAAGGGCCGGTGGCTGAGATCGAGGCCGCGCTGCCAGGTGGAGGCGGGCCCCCTCGCCTCCAGGCTGCTGAAGCCGGCGAAGAGGACCTGACCTGAAGATCGCGGCGGGGGGAAAAGGGAGTGCAGTAGATATCTGCAGTCTCCCTGCATCCGCTGTTGCCGTGCTCTACCAGGCTGCTCGTTGTGACTCAGCTCAGAGGCCTTGGAAAAGGTGATCTGTGTACTATCTCTCAGACTTGCTTGTTGTTCTGGACATGGCCTGGGTGAGTGCGGACCCCTGCGCTGTGCATCGTGACACAGTGACAGCCTGCCAAGGGTTCAGAGCATTGCGTGCATTCCGTGGCAAGAGTGCTGTGCGACCCTGCCAGTGCCCGCCAGGACGACTCCCAAGCAGGCAAAAAGGCGCGCACTCGCGACGCAGCTGCCTCACAGCTCCTCCACGCCGTCGTCGGTCCAGTCCATGGCCGCCTCAGCTTTGCCGTCAGGCCTGAGCGCCTCGCCAGGCCCAGCATCGCCATCGTCCTCGTCGCTCCCACTGTCCAAGGAGCCGTCGCTTGATGCGGGGGACAGGCTGCCGAAGAACTCTCGATCCAGGTCGTTCAGACCCTCCAGGTCCGGCGGCGGCGTGGCAGAGGCCTGCCTTGCCCGCTTCCTTGGGCGCCCAGGTTTGAACCCCGGGCCAGCGGGCTTGGAGTTCGAGGCGGGTGCCAGACCGGTCTCGCAGGCCGTCGTCCCGGCATCGGGGCTGGAAGCTGCAGGTGCTGGCCGGGCCAGCCCCTGGTCACGAGGAGCTGCAGCAGGTTGGGGCTGCAGCGCTGCGCATGCGGGGTCACATGCCCGAGGCCCCACCCCAGCGAGGGCAGTGTTGATGGAGGCCCCATCCAGCGACTCCTCAGTGGCCAGCGACGGCCCGGTCAGCTCCGACAGCAGCTCCTCCTCCAGGCTGTGCAGCAGCTCGTCTGCATCCTTGTCGTAGGATCCGGCCCCAGCCCCCGGCTGGTCGGGCGGGGAGGGGAGCCCCGACCCGGTGGGAGTGGCGGCGGCACATGCCGGCGCGGCCGAGGCCAGGACAGGGTTCTGGGCCCTCAGGACCGTCGGCTGGTACCTGCATGGGAGTGGGTTGTGAAGAGGATTGTGCAGCTGATGCAACCATGCCAACAGCAGCGCGTCCCAGGTGGGTCGACTTTCCCCAGCGTGAAGACTGGGCTTGGCACCCCGGTCCCTTGCAGCCAGTCAACACGGGTTGCCAGCAAGCCAGGTCCTCTCCCAGGGCCCGAGCAGCACACAAGCATGACACCATCCAGGCCTTGAGTCACAGCGCTTCCTGTGTCCCCATGCCCTGGACAGGTCCTCTACTTCCCGTCACACTCCTCACCTCAGATTCTTTACGGCTGCCTGCACCAACTCCAGGCGGAAGCCCTGGCCATCATAGATGGCCACACAGTCCATCCCATCCTTGGATGGCTCATACTTGCCGTGGAATTGGAGGCTTGGACACCCCTCGACGGAGCTTGGCCGTTGGAACGAAGCCTGAGAAGTGGGAGAATGTTGCCCCAGCCCTTACTGGCAAATGTCACCATGAGGATCCATCATGGCAAAGCTCAGCAGATTGTACTGCAATCTGTACTCCTGTCCAATAACAAGCATCATGTTTTGATCAGCTACAAATTGAAGATTCGTGCCTACTCACCCGTTGTGTTGCGTGGTCTACTGATAGCCTGCCTTGCCCGGATTCGGCTGCAGAGGCAGGCTTGAAGTCGTAGCGCAGAGTCCAGTGCTCGGGGGCTTCCAACCCCAGAATACTATCTCCAAGTGTGATGGGGTAGGTCTGATCCGGGTTCCAGGCCATACAGGGGGCCAGAGTGGATGCCTCGTCCGTTTGGCCGGAGGAGTGGTGGCTCACTTAAGCTCCCAAGTCAGAGACCTTGCATGCGATCGGATTACACATCAAAGTACGCGCCGTATTTCTTCTGCAGAGTACTAAAGGTATCTCAGCTCGATAATTCATGGCAGCGTAGCCAGTATGAAGACACATGTCGACCGATTCGTGCGAAGGCTCGCCTAGTCACAGCAGGCACAGCAAGCAGATACGAAACACGCGAGGCGAAGCCTGCAGCATCGGCATCGGTTAAATTGCAATCTTGATCGAACCATCCGTTATGTGGAAACTTGATTTCATACATTTTTTGTGCGATTCCTTGCCTGAGCCGCCGATGTCAAAGGCAGGCTGATGATACCTCGGCTCGCCGGTGTCACCCACTCTTGGATGCTTACGGACGTGGACGGGGCTTGATGACTGTCCTGCTACCAATTTTGGGCGAAGGCAGCGTGAGATTGAGTATTCGAGACATGCGCATCGTCTCCATTGGAAGCTGGAAGAGATCCACACGCCTGTGGCCCTCCTGACCACGCTCGATGCCCGTCCATGACTTGGCCGAAGAGACGGAGACTGGGACTCCAGGAATGGGGATTACCGACTGCCATCATCGCGGTGAGTAGATGCATGTCTTGCCCATCCTCTCCAGAAATCACAGACGTCTGGTGGTGTCTCATGTACATCACACCATGCACCCCCTCCCTGCCCTGCCCCAAACTCCAGGCGTTTGCACTCAAGGGCATGCACATGATGTACCCTTGGCAGTCTGCCGCATTGGAGGAGGGATGGCATGGGGACAACCTGGTGTACAGCGCGCCCACCTCGGGCGGGAAGTCCCTGGTCGCGGACCTGCTGCTCATCAAAGCCCTTGGCCAGCTGCGTTTGGTGAGATCTTCTCGACGTTTACGTGCGATGTGACACCCTGGGGAACATGAGCCCAGCTCTGGATGCCGTGCAGGCACTGTGGATCGTTGTCTGGAGCTGAACAGGCAGAGCACCTCCCATGTGTCACATCCAGCCAGCCCCTGACCCCACGCCTCATTCGTTTCCCCAGAATGGCATGCCAGCAAGGGGCCTGGTCATCCTGCCCTACCTCTCCATCGTGCAAGAGAAGGCAGACCATCTGAGTTTCATCCTGGGGGCCCTTGGCTGTTCTGTCAAGGGATACACGGGGGGCCTGGACGAGCACACGCCCCTGGGTGTCGGGTGTGTGAAGTTTGATATGGGCCTATTGCAGAGGGGGTTCGTGGCGGGTTTGTGCTGTCGGACCCGAGCTGCAGCTCCCACCTACCCAGATCCTGGGGATTCTGCACCAAGTTTGACGCTGCAGTCCTCGTCGGCCTCATCGCCGTGCCGTTGCTGACCACAGGGGCGAAAGGGTGGCCATTTGCTCCATGGAGAAAGCCCACGTGGTGCTCGACCGACTGACCCTGGAGTGCAGGCTGGGTATGTCGGACGGAGTCGGCAGCTGCAAGCCAGCGCCATTGTCTGGGCCATGAGATGCTTCAGAGGGTCTCTCTGGGAGGGGATCCCGGGCTTATTCCTTGCGCAAACATCCTGTCTTATACGCCCATTCTTGCATCCCATAACCATGTCCCATCTCAGGGGAGGTGGGGTGCATTGTGGTGGATGAGGCGCACATGGTGGCGGACCCCAATCGCGGCCCAGGTCTGGAGGCTGCGCTCTCCAAGGTGCTGGCCTCCCGCCATCGGCCCCAGATCATCGCCATGTCCGCCACCAGTGAGTGCTCATGCATGTGCCGACCCAGTCGAGTGCGGGTGTGGGGACAGGGAAGGGGAATGGGAGCGGCTGGCATCAGCTTTGCGTTTGGATGGGTTGGGGGGGTGGCCTCGGAGATCCAACATATCTCAGCAAGGCCAGCAAGTGTAACTTTGCCGCAAGTCCGACGTCAGTATGAGGACTCCTAACAGGAACCGCTACAGCATCACACCTCACAACGTTACCCATTCCACATCCCTCCCTACGATCCACAGTGGGGGGCTTGCAAACCTTGTCCGAGTGGCTACAGGCTCGTATGTTCCTGACAAATTTCAGACCAGTGCCCCTCACCGAGCATGTCGTGTTTCAGGGGACAGTCTACATGAAGGTGATCTGGATTGGGGAGGGAAGATGGCACACCTCATACTCCTCACCGTTGCATTGGTACCCTGAAAAATCGGAGGGGATTGCTCAGCTTTCTCTGTCAACTTCTGGGTGCAGGTCCATGGCAATGTGGATGTGGACAGTCCTCTTGTCAGGTTGAGGACGCTGGACCGTTGTTTTGACAGGAGGTCTGATCCCGATGGAATTGCTGCGCTCGTCGCGGAAGTGAGAGAATTTGGCTGGGTAGGAGTTGCACATTAATGTTTTCAGCCTTCAGGATTGTTGAGATCCCCTCGGAGAATCTACTGCTTGGGGCACGGCCAGAGTGCTGTGACACAAGTCCGTCTGTGATCCCCGGCCCTCCAAGGCTGTCCCGGCCTCATCTTCTGCCTGAGAGTTTCCATGTCAATCCCCGCTCCAGCCACCCCCTCCCCCTGCTCCCTGCCCCAGGCCGAGGGCCAGTCAGTGCTGGTCTTCTGTGTCTCCAGGAGGGCATGCGAGGCCTGTGCTGCACTGCTGACCGATCGGCTGGGCTCCAGAAGGCCCGAGGACCTCCGCCTGACGCTGGCGCGGCAGGAGCTGCTGGCGGACATGCGGGGGGAATTGGGCGGGGAGCCGACACCTGGTCTGAGTGACTGCATCCTGCATGGTGGGTGCTATGGGACGTTTTTGTGATGAAAGATCCGCACCCTGGCTTGTTGGACGCGTCGAGGGGGCATGGCGTTCTGAATTTTGCAGTGCATTAGACACACGCGTTCAGATGAGGTGGCTGGCCTATCTGCAATGATGACTGTGCGCCACCCCTAACCCCATCCACGAACCTTTTCTCCAGGGGTGGCCTTTCACCACGCGGGGCTCACTGTGGAGGAAAGGACGGGGGTGGAGCAGGGCTTCCGTGCCGGGATCATCTCGGTGCGGGCTTCAGGGAGGTTTGGTATACAGGCTGGGGCATCCATGCCAGTAGCCTTGACTACCATGCACCCCGGTAGCCCCCGCGCCCCTGCCTGGTCATGGGTGTGGACATGATGCATGGGTGCGGGGAAGCAGGCTTCCATCCCCCAACCCCCCCCCCCCCCCCCGCCCTCCCCTTGTGTCCCCCCCGCCAGGTCCTCACGGCCACGTCCACCCTGGCCGCCGGGATCAACCTGCCGGCGCAGCGTGTCATCCTCCGATCCCTCCATCAGGGCCCTGGGCCCGTGCGTCGCGCACAGTACCTGCAGATGGTCGGGCGGGCCGGCCGGGCGGGCCTGGCGCAGACCGGCGAGTCCTTCCTCATGGGCAGAGGTAAGTGCACGGGCCGGTGTGAGACTGCTGTCGTGTGAGGGCTGGGCCCTGCTGCCATGGTCGTAGACGCCGGGGCAAGCCTGCCCATGGACCAGCTGCAGCACTGCCCACGCAATCTCCGCCGCTGCGCCTTTCACAGGCGCGCCGGGCGGCCAGGAGTGGGAAGCGGTGAGTCGCCTGCTCGTGGAACCTGTGCCGCCCCTCACGAGCCAGCTCCTACCCGGTGAGCGCATGAACACAAGCCGGCAGGATGCACACTTGGTGGAGCAGGGGCTCAGGACGCTGTCAACTTGTCCCTACAGCGCACGGTGTGCCCCAATCCTCATGCTCTCCTTGGCACCGCTACTTCCTGATTGTTTGCCAGCCACATCCCGCTCCCCAACCAGCCCGGTGTGATCACCTCTGAGACCAACCTGTCAGCCATGTTCGTTGCCTATCCCTCT